GAATGAATGAATGAATGAATGAATGAATCTATCTATCTATCTATCTAGATGGGAATTCCAGCACAAAGTCAGCTCTACAGCTGTGGCGAAGTCCCAAGATCTGCATCACAACCTGAAAGTCCCCTTTAAATACCTCAAATGCCTCTTGCACCTTTTTCTGGAGCATGATGGCAATCTGTCGATCTGGAAGTAAAAGACAAGCATCACAGCCAAATGCACAGATTAAGAGAGTTGAAATAAGGACCTTTAGCAGAGACACATTTTTCACTTTATTTCTCTGGGTGTTTTTTCTCCCATTGGCTTGTTTGTGTGTCTGTGTGCAAAGAAGCGCCATCTAGAGGCCAGAGTAAAGTTTTCTTGTTTTTGATGGAAACTTGAACGGAGCCACAGCAGAAACTCACTAGTCAGGTCCAGCCACACATGAACGGAGCCTCCCTCCACGATGTCCCTCGTAACTCGGGGTTGCAAAATTCTGTTTAAGAAAGAGACACTATGAAAGGCAGAACTTCCTGGATGATGAAGCCATTCGTACATAATTTGTACATTATATTCGTTCACCATTCTAAACACGAGAAATACAGACATAAGTGTAACTCGGGCCCATTAATGATTAATGAGTTCCTCTCAGTTTTATTCAGTCAGACGAATGGCTCACTCATTAAGAGAAGGAACATGTGACTGGATCATGTGATCAGAACATGTGAGCCTCCAAGAACTGATCAGACTGGACTTTTCACCCCAGGCTGTGTGATACAGATCAAATGCCTCCGAACTCCTGCACCAGTGTTGTTGATAACAAAGGGCTGCATGCCGCCCCCACCCTAGCAACAGACTGGGCAGATATTTATCAGTGCCCCCCCCCATACTAATCACACATTCTTAGAAGCCCAGTGTGCATCATCTCCCAGGGCACATGATCTTTGCTCTGGTGACAAAGGTGGGGCTTCCATGCCAACGAAGACGGCAGCATCACCTCTTCATTAAGTAGCTGGAGAAGTTCTTTCCAAAGCCAATGATTGCCCAGTACTGGCCATCATAAGCCCCAGCAAAGGCCTCTGCGTGGGACAGCTCCACCTGCAGGTGGGGCAGATACATGTATGATTCACACCTTCACTTTACACTGTCTGAAAATCCGAATATTAGTGAGAGTAATTTATACTGCGTGAGTCATTTACTCTGTACTGTTTAATTCATTTGCATTGTACTATCTGAGTCACTGATGCACTCTATGCCGTTTTTCACTTTATACTGCAGGAGTAATTCAGTCACCATCTAATGATCAATCGGCACATTAACAGGACGGTTAGCATAATTGTATACAGTACAATGACATAAATACAATGACTCATCTCCAATGGGTGAGCCATCGCTTTACTCAAACCCAGCAGTGGGCGACCCCCACAAAGGCCAGGTTCTAGAACCCATATTGAATCATCTCCGTTCACAGTCACCTCAACATAAAACCCGTCAAATGCATCCGAACATCCGAATACCAGTGGTGGCTTGGCAACCCCTCTGCAGGCCTCGCTTTGCGGCAAAACCTGTCGGGATTAAACACCCTCGCCTCCCACCCTGAAAAAAGCCCCACACCTGCTGAATGCTGGAATTATCCAGGAAGGAGAGCAGCGTCCGACTGTAGAAGTCGCCGCTGGTCTCGTTGTTGACCACAGCCACGGGGATGCCCCGGGGGTCCCCGCCGATGCACAGGCACATCAGGGAGATCTGGATGACAGGTAGGAGGAACTGGAAACACAGGAAGCTGTGGAGATGGCGGCACATCAGTGTCGTTCCATGGGTGCCTGTGTCTTTAAAGCCTCATTAATTATGCAAAGGCAAGAGTTCCGATTGGACGGTGAGCCGATGCCTCCCATCTCCTCCTCACCCTGGCAACCTCTTCATCCGCACCATCGTCTTGATCATCAAGGCTGTGATGTTACGCCACTTCGGGGTTATGTGCCACGCCCTCACCTTCCAGTCCGCTGCAGAGACGCACAGTCATGCACGCAGGCCAGAGAAACACTCAAAATTGTGATCAATAGTAAGCATGAACATTTCAGCATATAAACCTGGCACCACTCAAAAAAGGCACTTAGGTCCCAATCCATCCATCACTGTAACCATTTAATCCCAACTGGGGTTGCAGGGGGGACTGGAACCAACCCTGGGCAACACACCACAGGGCTCATGAGCTCACAAGGCCAATTTAGACTCGCCAATCAACCTAACCTGCACGCTTTTTGACGGTGGGAGGAAACCGGAGCCCCCAGACGAAACCCACATAAACAAAGGGACCGAACCCGGGACCTTTCTGCTGTGAGGCAGCAGTGCTAACTACTGTGCCACTGCGCCACCCTATCAAGCCCTAAATAAAAACTAAATTAACATTTAAATTACATTTACTGTCTACAAACTTAATACCATTCCACAGTTTCATCGTACATTTAATTTACAACTAAAGATACCCTCACTCTCGATTTTTATTGTCTTACTTTGCAGTCTAATTTTCTTGTTATTTTTTATTTGTACTGTTATCTCATTTATTGCTTTGTTATTATTTCCTTATAAGCATAATCCTGGATGCAGGTGGACAGTGGAATCTCACTGCGAGGATACACACTGCATGCTTGCAGGTGGACAGTGGAATCTCACTGCGAGGATACACACTGCATGCTTGCAGGTGGACAGTGGAATCTCACTGCGAGGATACACACTGCATGCTTGCAGGTGGACAGTGGAATCTCACTGCGAGGATATACACTGCACACGATAAATAAAACATACGTGTCAGTTCGGAGTCCTGGGTGGAGGAAGTCGCCGCCTCACTCAGGATGGGCCGGCTCTCGTCCCGGCTGCCCTCGGACGACTGGCTGTCCTCTGTGCGCAGGTCCTGGGGGCTGCTCGTGCAGGGCTTGTGGCCCGTCTGGTCCGAGGACTCGCATAGCTGCAGGAAGACGGCCTCCAGCGTCTGCGACACAGCACACCTGCTGTCACCGGGGGGGGGGGCTTGAGCACGCTCACAGCTCGGTTTATTATTATGCTTTATGTTTAATAATTACGTATCAAGCTCATTCGGGTTTGTTCAAAGGCACAGCGCCAGATAGCATGGCCATGATGAAGGGGGGGGAGCTCACTAAAAAGCCTCAACCCCCCCTCCCACCCCGAACCCGGAACCCGCTCCACACACCGTCACGCTGTGCTGCGTCATGAGCGCGTCCGGGGGGGCTTCCGCCAGCAGACGGCCATTACGCATCAGCCCTACCTGTGGGGGGAGACAGACAGCTTGAGCCCCCCCAGAGACAAGCGCAGACACCACGTGTCATACTGACACTCATTGTGTTAAGGTTAGAAGTCATGTGTTGTACAAAAGTATGCGAACAGTGCAAAACAAAGAGGCTTTTATATTACCCCGGCTACCCTGAACAGGATAAGTGGTTTCAGAAAATGTATAGAAGGATACTGGTAACCAGTTTCATGTTTTGCCAAAAATGACCATCAAGTTCTCCTCTCCTTTGTCCCATTCACTGACCCCTTAGGACAGGACATTATGACATTATGACATTGTGACATTACGACATTATGACATTACGACATTACGACATTACGACATTGTGACATTATGACATTATGACATTATGACATTGTGACATTACGACATTGTGACATTAGCACCGGCTACCCTGAAGCTGAGTTGGGTCTAATTCTGAGATGCTACAGAAGGGCCTGATTATCTGTATCAGGTGTGTTAAATTGTGGCTGCGCCTAAACTCTGCAGGGGATGGATCTCCAGGAGCAGTGCTGGGCAGACATAAGACATTTAGAGACGTATATCCAAAAACTTTATTTACCACCAGGAAGAACACGCTCCACTACGCTAAATATCGTAGATTCACCCCCAGGTATCAGCTGACTGAGGCAGAAAAATCACTGGTTCTTCATAAAAAGAGTCTGGTAAATGTATCATTAGGTCACATGGTATCATTCTTAAAGGTAATGTCCCCATGGCACCATCCTTAAAGGTAATGTCACATGACGGCTGCCAGTGCTGTTCTCCCACCAAGTGGAGAAGGGTGAACTCTTCGTGTTTGACGTTACCTGCAGGTGTATACACCATTGTTTAAATCGTCCTGGAGTTTGTTCATCTACTTGGGCCTTATTGTGTACTTGGGGGGGAAAAAAAGAGTTTTGCAGTCTTCAGAAATCTCGGCCAGAGAGCGTTTGAGGATAGTGGCGCGGCTTCACGGCCACTGAAGCTGTGAGGAAGTGGTCGCCCGCATTGACTCACTGACTTTCACGTCATAATCTGCCGAAGGCTTTTGTGCTGGAGCAGATGGCCTCCACGCTGAGAGCTGGCGGCAGCAAAAGCCGATCAATAAAACCACCGAGAACTTCGGCCGCCTCCTCGGCCGGCACCTGCCTCTGTTTACTCGGGGACAGGAATCGTGGCGGCCGGGCTGCTCGACCTTCTGTCCCTCTTCTGAAAGCAAAAAAGTCTGGGTCTCTGAAGATCAGCCGTTAAAAACTCAACCCAACCCCAGCCCGTATGAACACTGAAGTGATTTCCCCAAACTAGTTTTGGTTCTGTATTTTAATTCCCCCCGAGCCCAAGAACGGCTTCCTTCCTAAGATCTGCTTTCTGGCATCTTGCTTGTGAATCTGCACCCTTTTTCGTGCTCTTGAGCACGGTAGTCCGTCACATTGCAGGGTGGTTGCAAGAATAGAAAGGACAATGCCGGAAAAAGTGAAAACACATCTGGGGGGGTCGTCTTCTCCTGTGAAGCACCCAGTGGTTCACACCTGCTAAATGAGCCATTTCATATCACCCATGTAGTGCACGGCACAAATAAACGATACTTTACACAGTTATAACAATATCAATATTACTATTCAGCTTTGAACATTAATAAAACTCCTTAGGCACCCTGGTTCTATAACTGCTGCATAACAGAACCATGGAGCATCATTATGAATGCAGATTCATAATCATGAACAGAATACCTACGTGCGATTTAATGTAAACCGATAAAGTTTTATTAATTAAAGCCTGAAATATGTCCGTGTTTTTTTTTTTTAAACAAAAGGTTACACTCGAGCTTTTCTCTAGCAAACAGACGAGTGGACATGATGTTTTGCTCCCTCTTGTTCTGATGTGTTCCGCGTTCTGTGTCTAGCTCAGGACGCAAGGCAGGGGACACGCTGGAGGGGACACCAGGCCATTGCAGGGCACACACTCACACACACTCACACACACTCGCACACACTCACACACACTCGCACACACTCACACACACTCGCACACACTCACACACACTCGCACACTATCATACAATTCAGGGTCACCGGTTTCCCTAACATGTTAGTCTGTACGTTTTTTGGGCTTTACCTGGACGAAGCCTGAACACCACTGGGAGAACATTCAAACTCCACTTGCACACAGCTACCCTGGGGGGAGACAGCATGAAGGGACAGCGGCTTGGAGCACTCCCACTTACCACGTGGGCTTGCCCGGCCTCCTCGATGTAGTGCGTGGTGATGATGACGGACACCTGCCCGTCCTTCACGATCTCCACCAGGTGCTGCCAGATCCTGGGCGTGTGGAGGCAAGGCATGGATTAGGGGTGAGAGCTTAGCGTGGGGTTCTGAGAAAGGTCAGTGTCCTGCAAAGTGTCTAGGGCAGTGTTTCTCAGTCTGGCCCATATCCACAGGTCACATTTTTGCTCCCTCCCAGCTCCCAGAGGGAGCAAAAACATTGACTGTCTGTGGCTCCCAGAGGACCAGATTGGGAAACACTGGTCTATGGGGATCAGCAAAACCCTTTATGGGAACAACCAATGTTTTTAACCCTCGTCCTGATGACACAATCACTATTCTCACGTTCAACCGAAACTGCCATAGCTATTTATGCTTTTACAATGAAATGGGAGGACACCATGCATCTATTCTTCATAGCTGTTCATCCAGTTCCAGATCTCTGCAAACCTGGAGCATGTTCAAGGAAGGACAAGGTAGAACTCCCTGGATGTGAAGCCAGTTCATCACAGAGCACACATTCACAGCAAACAAATCAAAGGCACCAAGTCCCCTAAGCCTTTCCCTGTGAAGAAGGAGCACAGTCAAACACAGGGAGCACGTGCAAAGCCACACAGAGACCAGGCCGCCCACAGCCCAGGAAGTGTGAGGCTACAGTGCTAAGCACTAAGCCACCATTCGGTTTTATGTCACCTAAAGTTGCTAAAGGCTAACGAACAGGCTATGAGGGTGGTGTGTGGCTCAGCGGGCTAGGATGCGGTGCCTATGATCGGAATGAGTAAATTCACTGTTGGGCCCCTGAACAAGGCCCTTAACCCCCAGGTGCTTCAGGAACTGGCTGGCCCTGCTTTCTCAAAAATATAAGTTGCTTTGGATAATGGTGTGTGCTAAAAATGCGAATGCTCAAGCGCAGGTCCTGTTAGAGAACCACAAACGCAGGTCCTGTTAGAGAACCACAAGCGCAGGTCCTGTTAGAGAACCACAAACGCAGGTCCTGTTAGAGAACCACAAGCGCAGGTCCTGTTAGAGAACCACAATCGCAGGTCCTATTAGAGAACCACAATTGCACCCATGTGCTAAGCCATGTAAGAGGGATTTATTTCATCTTGCATATTTAATAGCATAAAGCCCACTTGGGAAAACCAGTAACAATTAAAATAAAATGAAAGCCCTTCAGCAAATTATGTAACAAAAGGGCAGATTAATGCAAACGGATCTCAATACTCATGTGAGCTGCCCCAAGTTTCGCACTCAGCGTACGTGTCGTTCATCCAGTCAACGGCACAAACTAACTGGGAACATAACTAGTTCACAGAGTACGTCACAGGCTCAGGGCTGGAGAGGGAGGCTGTCAGGATGAAGACAAGCAACAAAAGCAAGTTTGGGGGTTAGGGCTTAGTCAGGATTCAGAGCAACTAGTGAGCAGAGCAGAGGAAGAACTGTGTAAACAGAAGTGCATAGCGTAAACAGAAGATCTCTGTATTGCAAACAGAACTGTCCGTTGTAAACTGAAGAACCTTGCATTGTAAACAGAAGATTTGTGCGTCATAGATAGAAGAACTGCATATCATAAACTGAATTGTGGATTGTTAACGGAACTATGTATAATAAACTGAACTGTGTATCATAAACAAAAGAACTGTGTAACGTAAACTGAACTGTGTATCGTAACTGAACGGTGTATCGTAAACAGAAGAACTGTGTAATGTAAACTGAACGGTGNAAGAACTGTGTAACGTAAACTGAACTGTGTATCGTAACTGAACGGTGTATCGTAAACAGAAGAACTGTGTAATGTAAACTGAACGGTGTATCGTAAACAGAAGAACTGTGTAACGTAAACTGAACTGTGTATCGTAACTGAACGGTGTATCGTAAACAGGAGAACTGTGTAACGTAAACTGAACTGTGCATCGTAACTGAACGGTGTATCGTAAACAGAAGAACTGTGTAATGTAAACTGAACTGTGTATCGTAAACAGGAGAACTGTGTAACGTAAACTGAACTGTGTATCTTAAACAGGAGAACTGTGTACTGTAATGTAAACTGAACTGTGTATCGTAAACAGGAGAACTGTGTACTGTAATGTAAACTGAACTATGTATCGTAAACAGGAGAACTATGTATCNTAAACAGGAGAACTGTATATCGTAAACAGGAGAACTGTGTACTGTAATGTAAACTGAACTATGTATCGTAAACAGGAGAACTGTGTAACTGTGGGCGGCAAAATGTGCAGGATGAAGAGCACGGGGGTGGGGTCCAGCATTGTGGGTGTGGCCTCTGCTTATAAAGCAAGTCTGGAATCACTTACTTGGCGCGTAACACGGGGTCTACCCCTACGGTGGGTTCGTCCAGGATCAGCAGCTCGGGGTTTTGGAGCAAGGCGGCACCCAGTGACACTCTCCGCTTCTGCCCTCCACTGTGGGGGGGAGGGGCCAGAGACAGAGAAATAAATCACATCTGATTCCTTAATTGCCTCAACACAATCCTGGTCTTACACAACAAGCTCCTATCAGGTCCTGCAGCTCAGCAAGTACGGCACTGTGCTAGTAACGCAAAGGTTGTGAGTTCAAATACCAAGAATCACATAGGAATTGTGACCTTTGAGTGTCACTTTTGCTAAATGCCTCAGGTATGACAATTGGTGTAAGTGTCTCATTGGCAAACAACCCACAACATGAGAAAACCAAAGAATTCCTATGTGCTTGCACACATAATTTTTTTAAAAACATTTTTTAGGTTTTTACTTTTTAAAAAACTTAACAGTTGTACTACATAGTACCTTTAAAACTTGCAAGCCTGCAGTTCATGAGGTTAATGCATTACATTCTGTCAGGTAAACAAAAGACTGACTTGTATTTCTGTGCCATTTAAGAGACAGCTGATTGACAGCTGAGAGACAGCGAGAACCAGCCAGACCACTCCCACCTCCCTCAGTTTAGCTGGGCGTCCAACGTCGTGACGCCATGCCGAGCATTTTATTTTCTTGCCGTTTATGAGCGCTAACGAGGCGCGCCACGTGACAGAGGCTGCAGGAACACCGAGGCGTCCGGCACGTCACGCTGGTGCCACTGGAAGTGAGCCCTCCAGAGCGATGCCCCAGTTGTTTAACAGGACGAGGAAACAATTAGTCATGATGTACTGGCGTCGGAATGATCCGCTAATGAGGCCGGTGCTTCTTTTACTGGAAAATGAGCACAATAGAGCTCTTCTAGATCCTGTTTCAAGCCTGTGGGAAAATGAATGGGATTGGTGGCTTCTGAGGAAAGGTTATCGACAGTCAATGCCCTGATTGGATGCAAATGAATGAAAGGCTGAAAGGCTGCTGGTGAAGGCGACCTCTTGTCTCCCACGCCAAGGCGTTCATGTCGCCCAACTGGAATTCATGTCACATGGTCTGAGATTGAAAAGCCAGGCCACCAATGAGAGCTCAGAGATGGCAAGCTGGGGGGCGGGATAAACCGGAGATTTGATCTGGTGTATTCAGACTGCCGTTGACCTCGCCCCCCCAGAGACACTGACAAATTAAGTTATTATTAACCGTTTCACAGCCCTGCCCGCTATCAGGGACACTTTAATGTGGGGGTTTACCCAGGCTGAAAAACAGGGGCCTCTGCCAAAAGGGGGCCTCAACTAAATAATTATCCATGTTCAATAACATTTTACCACTCCCCTCCCCCAGTCAACAACTCCTCAAGCATTTCACCATCAACATCCCCAGTGGGCCAGTGGTGGCCTAATTGTTAGGGAAGTGCGCTTGAAAGGTTGCTGGTTCGAAGCCCTGACCAGCAAGGCCCCCTGGATGGCTCCCAGGTGCTAAATAATAGGTGCCCACTGCTGTGTCACATATGGGCTAAATGCAGAGGACACATTTCATTGTTGTGCGCTGTGGTGTGACAACAATGACAATTATTCACTTTTATAATAAAGAGGCTTCTGGCAACTGAAATAGCCCAAAAGAAATTATATTTGAAAGCTTGGTGCATGACAAGCCTTCCTCTTCTCTCAAAACGTGGCCAACCGTCACTCAGCTTATCCATAGCTGATTCCGAACAACCGCTGCATCAGCACTTTCCAGTATTAATCACACTGTACAACATCTCACACATCTGCAGGACATCTTGCATAATATCCCGTACAATAACCTTACTATTTCTGGATGACTTTAGAGACAAGACAGCTCTAATGGCACAAAATTGACCACGTGGTCCACGGCTGCTCTGTTTTTGGAGGCCCACGAGCACGGATTAACGAAAGAACACAAGTGAAGGCAAAAACAGGACAGGACGAAAATAGAAGCAGGTGCTTACCTGAGTTTCCGGATCAGGATGGATTTCTGAGGCAGATCCAGGAAATCGATGAGGAATTGCATCCGGGTCTGCGTTTCCTTTCCAGAGAGGCCGTGGATGCGGCCGAAGAACCACAAGGTATCGCTGATGGTGAACTCATTGTACAAGGCCAGATCCTGAGAAGGACAACTGAAATGAACTTCCGCTTGGAGGTTTGGACTATGTACGATTTAGGTTTAGGAGCTTTTAGCGACTGCTATCCAGCTCAGCCTCCACCAAGCTCTCAAGTCCAAGGAGAAAGAGGTGAGGAGACTGACAGACTGAAAGCCACAAGCAAACATGACCTGAGGGATCCTTCCCAGAGTCTGAAAACATGTCTGACTTGCTCTATCAGTTCCTTTCAACGTGTTGACCCCTACCTGGGGCATGTACCCGACCATCCTACCGGGTACCCCATGTCCGGGAGAGGCAGGGGGCTTCCCCAGGACGGTGATGTGACCCCGTGAGATCTTCAGCGTTCCCACGATGCACTTCAGCAGCGTGGTCTTGCCGCAGCCGCTCGGCCCCAGCAAGCCGTAGCTATTTGAAGGAACAAGGGTGCAACAGAACGTCAATAAGATATTTTAGTCTTTCCCAATCTGGTCCTTGGGGACCCACAGACAGATCATGTTTTTACGATGAACCAGCCTGGCATGTTCTCTGCACTATACAGGGGTGGACATTTTCCCTCAATGTTAAACATAAAGGCATGGACAAAAGGGGAAGCTGATTGGCGGCACTCACATTTGTCCCTGTAGCACGGTCAGATTGAGGTCGTTCAGTACCCTCAGCTTGCCATAGGACCTGCAGACATCCCTGCACTGTATAGCAGCTGTTACAGATTCCAGCGTGGTGCCCGACTCAACATCCTGCTTCATCCTGCTTGGGACGGTCTGCAGTAAAGGCAGGACAGATATCAGGGGACAGCAAGCAAGCCCAAAAATGCATCTTTCCTACTACAGTATTGAGCTGAGTGAATATCCAGGTTAAAAAGCTAAGATCTGAGCACCTGTTAATTTGCCCAGACGATTTAAAGTGACTCTCTTTTGAGTTTCTAGAGCCAACCGACAATCAGGCAAAATTTACCTAAGGGAACCATAAGCCAGTTGTGCAGCACAACTAAACAGCAGCCACTTCTTATCAATTATGCAGTTCCTGTTAGATATGAACCAGACAGCATTCAAGCAGAAGGTGTCATTTAAACCTGGGCAACAAAATATGGGTGATGTTCTGATCTCACTAGACGGTATCATAGCAACAGCTCCGAATCGTCAATCACCGAAATTAGGTCATATGGGCCATAATCCGTAATCCTTAGCGCTTTTTCGCCACATGCATTCTTCTGTCGTTCACATTTCTTCCATGAACTTTTGAGTCCAACTGTATAGTTAAATGTAATTTTAAATCGGGTCGGTTTCGCTTATAAAAACACACCCTCGAGCTGCATTGTGTTGAACTCGGCTTCTCAGACTGTCACAAAATAGGAACTTTCAGTTATCGGTTCATTTAATTTTCACAATATTAAAGCCGTGTTTTGCATCAGACGGGACACGATAGTGTGACTGTGAATACTGTAGACACGTTTCACTTTTATTATCAAGCTTACTAATATATCAACAACATAATGCAACACGCTATCAGATTACGTAATATTACATTAATTTAATTATGATGCACCACTGAGGGGTCACCCTGACTAAACTCACCGTGAAAGAGGTCACTCGGGCGACCGAAGTTGCCGAACCCCAGCGGCAGAACAACCTTCCACGATTGAAAGTGAGCGCAGATCAGCTGATAGCCGCAATCGAGCAGCGCGACAGTGGCGGAACAGGTCGGACTGATACGAGCAAACGTTGGCATGTTCCCGACTCACCTGCTTAATTAACTTCAAAAGACGACTGATCCGACTACACGCAATTCCTTCCAGGTCTTGCTGATTGCTACAGAATTTTCTCCTTGTTTATTCGATTTAGTTATTCGGATTCTTACAAATAATCTGCTTTACTTTTATACAGGTCTCAGCTGCAGCAAAATAAAAACACTACACTCGGCCCAGTAATGTGTCCTTAAATACGGTATGTTGCACTGGAGTTATGGCAAGATAAGTCTCTTTTTAAAAATCGATTTAAAAAAATTCTCTCTGAGCTATTTTTAAAACACAAGAATTGAGAAATGCGGCGCCACTCGCACAGAAAGTGACGTTTGACATGCAGATTTCTATGCGCTCTTTTCTCCCGAATGAGGTTTTTCCCGTTTCGGGGCAATGCGTCATCGCAGCATCCGCGACTTTAATTCATTCTTATAATAACATAGACTTTATGTTTAACCCTCCATATTTAAATATTCATTATTAATTTCTCATTTCATTATTGGGTCCCGCTGTCGGGGCATAAATCCAGCGTTTCTGTTGCTTAGCCGATCTGGTAATTGGCACGTACGTATAACCGTATTTCATATATATATTAATATATTGTATACGCCGATGTATTTCGTTGCGACATAAACATTATGCATATTTGCTTTACCCGATCGTCCATCTCTGTGTCTTCGAGCGGGGCTTTCAGGACATCACCGGTACCATCTACCGCCATCATTGAGGGGGTGTAGGGCAAAGGCACGCCGGAGCGGAGGAGGCAGATGCGGGCAGGTTAATGTGCTTCGCGATACCAAGGAGAAAACCGTGATAAGCAAGTACTGCGGGTAAAAATATGCAGAACATGTCGCGAGGATTATCATTTTTATATGAGCACTTACAAAACCCCAAAGGTCTAGTTCACACTTTCCTTTACGTCGTGTCGTTCTTTGGATAGGCTATTCAAATCCTTTGAGTTTCATTAATGAAACGCGCCGCGGTCGCCCCCCCCCCAGCTGCTACATTTACAGTATCCCGTGTCCCTGCTGTCGATAGTATTACCGACAAGTTTCATCTAATTACTAGCCATTCCATGCCATCGGGAACAGGCGATGCTGTGGAGTGCATTTAATCTATGCGTGAAATACAAGTCATGGAAAGTGAACGGATTAAACAGATTTATGTTTAAGTAAAAGTTAAATATAATACACACGGTGATGCATGGGCGTAAATTATGGGGGGGATGGGGGGGTTGTAGCCCCCACCCCAATAAATAAAAACCAGCTAATACAACTCCCCCAATAATCATGTTTCCCCCGTAATGGGTGGAGACCTCAACCCCCCAATGTTCCAGCCAAAGTTACGCCCTTGCAGTGATGAGTCAGATTCAGAAGTAAAACTTTGCTTGTAATGTCAACACCAAACAAAAATGCGGTTCAATGTAAAGAAAGTGCGGACTCATTTGCCTGAGACATAAACAGAAAAGTCGCTTACAATGATAATCCGCATATAGTGATCAATTTCACTCAGACAGACGTGATCACTATATGCAGTTCCGACTGTATGATTGGGCTGTTTCAGTTTGTTGGAGATGTTATTGCATCCCTCACAAGCTCCATAACAATCATTATTCCCTCCTGACTGAGGAGGTATCCTTTAGGCAATTCAGTGTTTGTTTAATGTTTCCAAGACATTGCGACGTGGATTGAAAGCAGCCATTTTGCGGTTGTTAGTGAATTGGTCTTAGTGACTTAGGAGTCCTCTGGACTACTTTTAGTTCTCCCAGACTTAGGTGCTACTTTTAGTGCTAAGGGGTTTGTGAATTGCTTTTAGTAAATAAATAAATAAATAAAATAAAAAAGAGGGTCCTACATTTAGGACTGACACGCCCATTATTTCTCCTAAATAGGCAAATTAGGAGCTACTTATAGCCTTAAGATGCTTCGTGAATAACTTCAAAATGAGTGTTATCCAGTGGTAACCTTTAAAAAAAAAAAAAGCACTCAATTCTTAAGCTTTGGATGACACAAACAGGCATGGTGGGGAACAGTTACAGTAGCAGATCAGCAAAGAGGAATAGAGAAAGAAGAGGTATCAGATCAGCAAAATAAAGAACCTGAAAACGGTTGGGTGGAGGAGCATAAGTAGCTCACTGTATTTTGTATTTACCCATAATCCCATGCACTAAATGTCATAATATAGTTCAGTTGTCATCTGGTATTATGACATTGCATTGTTTTTTCTGACATATTACAGGATGTATTAATGTGAAGAAATGCATTGGTTTACAATATGCTGCTTTTATAACATAAATTTTTTTAAGACGCTTAAAAATGTTTAAGACGCTTTTCTAAAAATTACGATATTGTGTGCGACACAGTAGCTGCCTCAGGCCCAGTTAGCACGAGGGAGCCCCGTCAAAGTCCCTGAGCAAAGAAATCACCCGAGAGGGACCCTCCCCCATAGTCGACTTAATATATCGTGGGAGCCCCCCATCCCCCAGCCCGGAGTGCAGCTAGAAGTTTTGGACCCCATGAAAGCGTATCTTTTTGAGCCCCCAGTCTGCACCAGTCCAATTATTTTCCTTTTTTTTTTTTTTACGAACTCCTCTCATTTGGAATCATCTTAAGTCCCCCCCTTACGGTGCCCCTGCCCCCCCGGGAAATGTATTGACTCCGAGTCAGCCTAGAAGGGTCTCTGAAAAAGCAGACACAGCCCTGTTTGTGTGCTTCATTCTTTAATTAACCTTGCTGGTATTTCTTGGTTTTAGTGGCCTATACTGCCAGGTGACAAGCTATCACCACCGTATTATATAATTAGTAACGTAGTACTACCCTTGGGAAAAACAATTTGCAAAAAAAAAAAAAAAACATGGTTAGATCATGTTTCACAGGGTCCAACGTAGCGCAAAGCGTTAAATCGGTGCACTGGCAGTTCCCATTGCAGTCCTCTCGTATTATTCTTCCTCATTTGCAGTTTCTTTTCTTTGCCACATGGGGGCAATATCTTACCGACTGTTGCTAATAAGCCTACATGACTATCGTTTCTATGTCGTATACATAAAGTAAAGGAACATCGGGGGGCACCTCACTTTAAAGTATCCGTATCCTACGGCCTAACAACACTATACACTGAACTGTGGAATTCATCAGTGCCTACATAAAGTGATTACATTACTAATGCATCTAAACATCATTTCTCAATAAATATATAATAGAAAAGAAATGTGATTATAGGAAATACAAAATGATAAATAGTAAATATTACGTATTTAAAATTTACGTATTTTATTTGGGTAAAAGAAATAGTAAGGTCCCACCCATATTATTCCTGTATAAAAACAGGGCTTTTGGCCATTGATGATACGGGTTAAGGATAGACACGGATTGTGCCTCTGGGCAGAAAAACGCATGAGCTCTGGGCGTCGCTTGCTTGTAGTTCCTCGTCGGGTCTCTAGTCCAACACCTTGGGGGGAGCAGCTCAAGTCCCCGCCACGCCGCCAACAAATTCCTGAGCTGCTCGGCCTCCCCAGCTGATAACCATCCTATGCTATTCTGTACAAGATGGCGGTTTCGGGCACGGAAAAAAACGGAGTTGTAAGTATATAGCGAAAAATCGGCTCTGCTGCGTTTTATTGTTCCCTATTTATGGATCGTGGAAATGCGTGCGTTGCGACTGCGATCACGATGAGTCCGTGTATGTCATTGTGGCTCCTAAAATATGTAATGCAGCGGCAGAAATCCACTGGGCACATGCATATAGGTGCATGTACGAGTGGTTAAAAAATCAATGCGGCTTCTGCGGTTTTTGACTCTAGATGCTGCGCGGTCTTGACAGCATCGTCTATGAATTTATGTTCCGTGTCACGACTTCCAGCGCCGCTGTACACGATAACGACACGGATACAGTCTTGCCACATGTTTTTACACGCGTCCGGTTTCTGTATTGTTTAGGTTCGCCACTAATTCTTCCATATTATTTTCCCTGCGATAAATCCCAGGTTGGTTTACACGTCAAAAATGTCTCTCCCCGCAAGCTCGTTTCTCACTCTTAGCAGTGCGTCGTTTTTCCCAGTTTATGTTTCTTTGTGCTGGAACAGTTTATATATATATATACATACATATATATCCCCACTGACTGATGTTTTTGCTTGTAATAAGAATACGGAAGATGAACATCTGAACAACTCACTGAGCAACCCTGGTCTGATTTCTCCCGACAAAGAAGACATGACACGGTTGCTGGTAATGTAATTCTGGTCATTTTTAAGCATGTTACATGCCCCCCTAGTTATGCGTGGTTTGAATGATAATATGAGAAAATACCGTGGCTTCCACAGACTGTTCCGTTCAGCGGCCGTATCAGAGGGGGCATGAAGCCGGGGAAGAAGATCATTGTCATGGGCATTGTGGATCCTGACCCCGAAAGGTAAATTCACCGATAAACCATGTGTCAGCCTATTTTTGTATGAACAATGTCGTGCCAGTGGCAGTATTTCGGGATTAAAAATCGATAAACAGATAGATATATTTTACTTATACTTACTTATAGATTTGACTTTTAGTCTTAGTTTTATATTATTTGTTTAATCGGTGCCTACACGAAAAATCCTTAATCTCAGTTTTACATTAATTCCAGTTTTACATTGCTTACATTATTTTATGTTATTTTCTCTCTTTTAATTGTTCAAATGTTCGTCTTATCTTAGTTTATTTTATTGTGCAGCATTTTGGTTGACACTTGTTGTATTTTGAATGTGCTTTATAAATAAAGATGGCTTGACTATATTTTAATGTAACAAGTTTTAACATTTAATGCAGATTGGCATTAAATCTCTACTAACTTTGATTTCAGTTTAGGAATTAAATTATTCAAATATATGAGTTTATGGGCAGATTAAAGATTAGGCCTGGAAAGTTTGAATGGGGATCATTAAAATTCACACTGACAAGAGGGAGGCGGCCTCCTTTGGTTTAAGCCAAAGATATTTGCGTGACTTTCAAATGCGTTGTTCAATAGGTTGTGACTTATCTGTTCAGTCATTTACATATTTATGATCGGAAGTGTTATAAGTTATTTCCGTGATTATATTAAGAAGAGTTTCTGTACTGATGACGCTTTGCAACTTTGATCGGAATTGTCTAGTAGTGACATAAGAACAGAGGAATGATCCATTTTATTTTACAATAAATAAATGATTTATTAATCTGTAATGTCTTTCGATCAAGGCATCTCTTTAGACCTTGTGTTATATCCAAAGATGCACGAGGTAAATGTGTTGTAATGGGAGAATGTTAAGCACTATGTAAAGCAATCCTAAGAATGTAGGCCCGCTGCTTGGTTTACGCTTGGGGAGGTTGGGAATGTATTTTGCTATTTTATTGTTATCTGAGTCTTAAATCTAACGTTTTCGCAGTTTTTAAAACATGATTTTAAGACGGGCATTTTACTAGAAGCAGTGTGGGTTGATTTATTGCTGAAGGTGCTACGTGAGGCTTAAAATGATGTTCTTAGTGGGACTTGAATCTAGAAGCATTTAAGTCATAAATTTGTGTCCTTCTGTGATGCTTATAGCTCTCCTGGAATAGGGATTAACCAACTGTCCTGCTGTAAATGCCCAGCCAGGATTCAATGAATTTTGTAAGATGTATGTTATATGTATCTTGCACCTTGGAGCAGATGGACGGCGTTAATGTCCCCTTGTCCCCTAGCTTCTGCATCAGCCTGACGTGTGGGCGTGGCTCGGAGGCGGGGCCTCCCCCAGATGTAGCCCTGGAGCTGTGTGCCTGCTTCGCCGATAGGCAGTTCCTGCGCCGGGCGTGTGTCTCTGGCGTGTGGGGCGAGGAGGAAGCAGCCATCGCCTACTTCCCTTTCATACAGGACCAGCCCTTCCGGGTATGCCCCCCCCCCCCCCCCGATTCAGCTTGAAACCAAGATGAGATAGTAGAACCATCTCTTTACCTCGCCCATCTTTATCTCCCTAGACAGATATACAGGTGAGAGTACATTTTGAGGGTCACAGCCAGGGCTGGAAAAGGAGCTCATCCACTTGACCCAGTAATTAACTAGCAGAGGTGGACAGTTCAGGTCCAGAAAGTACAAATCCAGACCAAGGGTTTGTTTCAACCAAGTAGTTGAGGACTCTGTGACTATGACTCATTATACTCAACTGCTTGGTTGAAACAAAATCTTGGCCTGGATTTTTATTTCCTGGACCTGAACTGTCCTCTTCTGTTAACCAATATAGATGAAGTTGAATGCAAAAAATTGAACACTAGCCCACCAGCTAGTAAAAAACATTGCATGTCCTGCAACATGTTTTACTGAACTAGCCTAGTTGGCTAGTAGCAGAAAATCTTAAGCTGGTCCCCTGCTCGTGATGCAGCTCTGACCAACAGTGGTTATTTGATCCAAAGAGTTCCGTCCAGTGGTGGAGATTTCAGGCTCAGAGAGTACAAATCCAGACCAAGATTTTGTTCCAACCAACCAGTTGAGTATTGACTGTGACTCTTTATACTCAACTGGTTGGTTGAAACAAAATCTTGGTCTGGATTTGTACTCTCTGGGCCTGAAATCTCCACCTCTGCTTGCATCACATGCATAATTTTTCTATGTGCCCTGGGATTTAAACCCATAACACTGGCATTACTAATACAATTTGCTACTTGTTGAGCTACAGTGCTGCCAACATAACTTTTGCCAGTTTACACCAGGTTAACTCCTTAACAGGGTGCTTTACCTGATTTGGCGCTGCATGTATATCCAGATAAACATTTTGACAGGCTGCTGATGTAGGACTGATATCCGCTAGGCAGAAACATAATGAGAACTGGGAGGTTATCTGGCAGGAGCTCCACTCCCAGTACGCTGGGGGGGGCTGATTTGTGTCCCAGCTGAGCTCTCAGTTGCCGTTTTTTTTTTTTGCTTTGAATGAGCTGAATGAATGAATCTCATCGTACAAACATAATCGGACACATTAGCTGCGATTCGTTTAGCTATCCACCGAAAAACCTATTTTTATATTTATTAATGTGTTTTACTCCCTGAAGTCGTGGCTCATTTTGTGAACCGGTGGTGACTTCGTTGTTTCAGTAGGTTATAAATGATTGAATGGTCTGTCTGCTGGATCATTTTGGAAGAACTACATAAGGGAGGCACATTTTGCCAGGATTGAGAGTTTACTTGTAATATCAGATTTGGTTTGATGTGAGTAAACAGATTATGGGTTCTTAGTGTTTACATGATAAAGGTGAATATAAACTAGCAGGGAAGGACACACGTGTTTCACAAGTACACAGATGGGTGTGAAGCTGCATTACTGTCGCTGTTGTGACGTTTGTTAAGCGTAAAGGTCTAGGTCACCTCTACCCCCCCAATGTGTGTCTCTGTGCAGATCGAGGTTCACTGTGAGCACCAGCGCTTCCGCGTCTTCGTGGACGGACACCAACTCTTCGACTTCTACCATCGCGTGGCCTCCCTCCTGACCATCGACACCGTGACGATACGTGGGAGTTTGCAGATCACCAAGCTGGGATAACCCTGCGTTCGGAGCACGCCGGGGGCGAGGTGGGGAGTTTGGGGGGGAGGGGGGTGTCCTCTCACTCCGAGTCTGTTGGACCTGCCGGAGCATCAACCGTGGTGCCGAGACTGACCCCCCCCTCCTCCCTGACTACGCTGCACCTCTCACGCTCTCTCACGCCAAGGTGGACCTACGAAATCCGCCGCTCGATGTTCTCACCCGAGGGGTGGGGGGGAGAATTCACACAAGTGCGTCTCGGTCGGTCGTACGAATAAACAATAAACAAAATTAAACTTAGTGAGTCTTGACACGATGTATCGTGTGCTATGTCATGTCGTCCCGTCGGAGAGCTTCCCTGTGGAAAAACGACCTTGAAAAATTACCTGGAAGTGCATATATTAATGATTTTTTGTTGAATTAATAAATCTATAAACTCTCAGGAAACAGCTAAAACTGCTTTGTAACATGCATTAATAAGATTTTCAGAGGAAGATAGGAGCGTCAAAGGGAAACGACACTGCAACAGCATGGGATGATTTGGGGAATTCTGTCTCACTACATGGGCATTTTAAGCTATGAAATTTGAGGGCTGCCGGACCGACGGTTGGTCAGGTGACTAAGGCACTTCCAGGTCAGAGTTTTGTAAATACGGAGTTTGTGAAATACGTGTTCGCCACGTCCGTTTGACGTAGCGAGCGACGCAGGGTTAGTGCGTGCTAACACAGGCAGAATTTGTTCAGGGGTAATAACAGAGGTGACTGGTTGACTTTGCCTGGTGGGGGGGGGGGGATCTGCAGTGGGGGCCACGCTGAACATTTCAAGTCAGGCGTTCATGAAGACGCGAGTCGCTCAACAGCTGCCTCATGTCTGACGGCCATCCTGTTCCCTCCAAGACGTGCAGGGACAGGACAACAATATGCAATTTCGAACACCTACAAACAAACGTCCCTGTGACGGGATGCACCCTATGACAGTTGTTACCTTTCTGAACTGCCTGAATGTAAAACATTTGAATAAATATTTTTAAAAACAAACCACAGTAGCTAGCAAAAATTTAATAATTCTGTCACGGCTTTTGAGTAGAACGTAGCAGGCTGCAAATCACGACAATAACCGTAGCGTCTTGGTAATTTTTCCCATTCTTTGCTCGACAAAGAATTATAACCCATTACCGTATTTATTTTTAGCAGCGTAGCAACCAGTTGTGATATGCTTTTGATTTTGTTTCTTACCACGAAGAAACACAGTAGTCTTTTATTGCCGCTTATACTCGCATTACTGTTAGAGGTTAGTGACAGTGACATAGTAGATAGAGCTGGGCTGTTAATTTGTTTGTGTAGTGCGTGCGGTTTTGTAGGTATGGAACTTAGTGAAGGCAACCGATCGGCTCGTGTTTTCTCTGCGTGCTGCGGCGGCGTCTGAAGCTTTTCGCCACGCGCCGCCCGTCCTTCACCAGCACTCCTGTGGATCGCCATGTTCAGCTTCCCCTAGGCGCCGCCTCGATGAAGGATTTGTCTTTTTTTGCGCACTAACATGTCAGATGCTGAGAGCTCTGGGTCCACCTCCAGTTTGAGGTGGAGCTATTGACGTGGAGGGCGATTAATGTTTACACCCCAGGTGGAGAATCAGGTTCATTAGCCACACCAGTATAATTATACTGTGCCGTGGTCCCTTTTCCAGTGTTCCAAGACTCCACTTTCTTCTAACTGAGCTTGATTTAATTTGTTTTGGCCAGTGAACAGTAAGCCACAATGCATTATATATTAATTCCTAAAATAGATCAGTTCGGTTATAGTGCAGCTTGGAATCTGGAGATGTTACATGAGAGCTGATGAGACAAATATGTCCACTTTGCACATCTGCACTGGGGACGGGGGAGGTCCAGTCCATCCCCAGAATGGTTTAGGAAGGACTGATTAATACTGGAAGACTTCCAGTGCTCGAAGGCATTATGAAGGTGTACAAAAAGCTGCTTCAACATGCATTCAGAACTACATTAAACCTGAAGCATGTGTCTTAAGCACTGACCAAATCTAGCTACTAAAGTACAAAAGTTGGATGCTGTATATGGCACTATTAATTCCAGATTAGTGACATGTGTGTTAGTTTTCCTTGTTGAATAATTCTGTTAAACCCATTTCAGATCATTTTAGACAATTTTACACTAATTTATTGACTTTTGAAAAGACTCTTGATGTAAGGTCAAGCAGCCCTATTTCTCCTGGCCTCATATGCAAGTTCTGCTTACATCTGTTTTCAAATGCTTCCAATAAAAAAAGACTGAGGGATTATGATGAGGGAAATGCTGAATTGCAGTGCTGCTGAAACCGTTAACTGTCTGGCTCTGAAAGGGGGTGTTCAGACGGACGTCGCCGTTTCCTGATTGAGACCAAACCTTGCCCTGGCCGTCTCCTTGGACACGCTGTTCGAATGCTAAGCAGGGTTACAGACTGACGGCATCAGCGTGGTGTTTTGTACCGAGCGTGCTTCATAATTGGACAATGGTGTACTGTGTTCCCCAAAAGATTTTTTTTTTTTTAAACAATGGTGTTTTTCCCTGCTCTGTAAACAGGTCCAACACACATGTTAAGACCAAAATCCTTTTTTTTATTTAAGAACGTGTACTTCAAGGGTACAATGTAAGCATCACCCTGTGTTATTGTCATTTGTTATTGTCACTTGTCTGCTTGTTTATGAGAAGTTTTATATAATCACTGCATCATCTGTGATATCTTAACTAGACTGTGTAGCGTTCACAATTTTTTTTTCTATGTTTTGTTCGGAGTCTATGGTTGTTGTAATTATTGAGTTTGCAGTTTTATCATAGCTAATCCATATTGTCTTGATGTCATTTTAAAAAAGTAATTGTTTCTGGACAACATGAAGAACACCTTCCCAGGGCTAGTAGTAATTCTTACTTTTGTACACGAGACCACAGAAATCAGGCATCCAGGTTTTCTGTGCGAAAAGTGTGTGCAGCTATCCTGCCTCATCTTCTGCTTGTGTGACAGCAGAATCCTGATCGATCCTGATCAATCCTGAAAGATCTGACTTTTAGCCCTACATAACTTCCTCAGTCTTACATCATCTAAATGAAGGAGAAGTCCATATTTCTGAAAGAAACCCTTTTGAGAATGTCTGTGTTGGTGAGGTTCATATTGCGTTGAAATGTTTTTTTTCCCTCTTCGAATTTATTTATGAACTAATAAACATATCAAGTGGAAGTCTTGATGGCGTGAATCTCCTTTCTGAAGCCAAGTAGGACAAGTGGCCCATTTCAGAACAAGACGACCTCTGTGTGGCCACTTTTCTGGAATGTAGAATGCTTCAGTGTCTTGTCGTTTGCCTCTTAGGTCAAGCAACCAACTTTTTGATGTTTGACGGGATCCTTCCGTGTTCATGACGCTCGCAGGTGACACACGACAGACAGCTCCAGGTGAACTGATAGATCTTTTCAGAGGCTGAATATTGATTGATTTGACCTGTTTGCTTAAGAAATTGCCAAGCCTGAACTTCTCAGCTTGCTAAAACGTCCAAGTATTTTCATCATCGTAATGAAATCGTCTCCTTGGGAGATTTAAAACCCGCTATTGCTTTGTCAGTTTTTTCATTTCTTAATCTAAGTGCCCCAAGGGAAATCCCATGTGTCATAAAGCGGAATACAGTTTAGGTATAAGACAAGGCTATACTGTGAGTCTGGTGGCTCCAGCTGAATGAGTTGGATGTTTAGGCACCTCCAATGAGTGCTGACTGTCCTTTGTAATTTCCAGGCTTACTGGACTAAAAATTGATTGACGAATGTCAATGAGAAACAATAATTGGTTCTCCTTGTCCCATTTCACCAGAAAGGTGTGGGTCTTTGCAACCTGCCAGCTTTCGCTCAGGACCTGGAAATTGCTCTGCTGTTTATGAAGCCTGGATTTGTCATTCACCTGCTGACAGCAGAGCTTTGATGTTTGCACTTTGTGACATTGTGCAGGACATGACTAATGGATATTATGTGAGCCCTATTCAAAGCCATACATTGGCCATGTTAACAGATTCAGTCAAAGGCTGGTCGTAATATCGGTTTGACAGCTAGTTTGAATAGAGAATAGAGGAAATCTTTTGTGTAGGAGGCAACTGCGAAGGACTGTGTTTATAGGGGCTATATAAACAAGGGTGCAAAAATTAATTGTCGCCTCACTACTCGCAATTCAGTTTGAGCTATTATTGAATCACTCTTCTAAATATTTTTTTTTAATTTAAAGTAGTTTGTTTAGCGGAATTAACTAAAAGCACTGTACTCCACTGAGTTCTCAGACCAGAATTTTCCCAGAAATGTCCCTATGAGGTTTTCGGACATCTATTAATAGGCTGGCAGAGTGGAGAAGAAGAATTTAACTAATATGTTATTATGTTTTATATTTAACTTTGGGCCATTGGATATTTTAAGATCTTCGAGAGAGAGGACAATAAAATGAAATCATGAATCATCATTGATGATGAAAAACATATAATGTATATAGATATAAGATAAGGTTTCGTTTGGCCACATGGTGAGCATGAAGCAGGGGCATCTTTCAGTGGGATGTCGGTGCGTCACTGAGGGCCCCCACAGTCACATGCGAGAGGCCACAGGGGGGTGGCAGATCACCGAAGCCACATGTCTTTGAGCTATGGGAAGAAAACCAGAGTCCCTGAAAGGAACCCACATAATCACACAGAGTATTTTAAATAACTAATTACATACTTTAAAATGACCAATAAAGGCATCTGTATCTGTAGAATTGGTATAGCCTGGTTCCAAATATCGTCATTTAATTTGCTGAACAATTCTCTGGGTAGCGGTATAACTCTCTCGTCATTCACAATGAAAGATTTCAAATAAAGGTAACATTTATTGCGCTCGCCGGTTTGATCACTATCCCTTTCAACGGTCTGCAAACGCACTGTCGCCGAGACGATCCAGCTGCGTGGTGCCCGCCCAGTCCCGTGATTCACCCGACAGAAGGGCGCAACAATCGCGCTATTGACGAGTACGAAGTGCCGGGAAAGTTAATACCCACAAAGAGACAAGAAAAACACACAGCTGCTGCGTGTTCTTTTCCGTTTTGTGATGCATCCCCCCCCCCATTTTTGAATGAAAAAAAAAAAGAAGTTTAAGCCAACATAATTACTTTAATGACTTGTTATTGCAAGATCAGTTGGCAAATGCTGCACTTCAGAAAAACAGATAGTCAGATATACAACAATACCAGGAGCGATGACATTAGAACCGTCGCTAACTCATGTAAAACAAAGTTTTGAAAATTTAATTAATTATGCAGGTCAGCGTGGTGACTCAGCAGGTAGCACTGTTGCCTCACACCCCCAGGGATTACGTTTCAAGTTTATTGTCATATGCAGTCTGCACAAAGAGATGTTTACTCAGACACCGCTCACGGGTATTAATGAATAGCAGTAAGCAGCAGCCTCCGACAATAAGGACACAGGACCAATGAAGAACGCGGTCTATAATGATATTAAATGACACAAACGTTGCATCACAAAACAAACAGCAAATGAATGGTGGTGATAAACTTTACAAATGACAGGAAGTTTTGATATATCATGTGCTCCTGTGTTGTTTCCAAATCAGCTGGCTGTTAAGCAGCCTTATAACAGGTGGGACCTTTAGGTTCGAATGCTGATGTGTCCATGCCGTCTGCCAGAAGGGAGGAGGGACAAAGGGTGTTTCCTACCTCTGTGTGTGAGAGTCGCTGGTACTCCCCATCTTGTGGGGGTTTCCTGTAGCTACTCTACTTTTCTTCTTCAATCCAAAGATGCACAGTTAAGCTGATTGGTGCCTATTAGTTGCCCATTGTGTGTGAGTGTATGTGCCCTGTGACTGGCATCCCGTTCATGGCTACCCCAGATTTGTGCCCTCTGCTAAAAGCTAAAGCCCCCCTGTGACCCTGTCCAGGGTAAATTGGTAGAAGATGTATGGATTAAAGTATGCACTAAATAATTGTCACCGACTATACATTCATTTTCCATGCCTGCTTGTCCTATGCAGGGTTGCAGGGGTCCGGAGCCTATCCCGGAAGTTACAGGTGCAAGGTAAGGAATAACCCAGGACAAGGCACCATCCACCGCATGGCGCACACACACACGCACACGCGCGCACACACACACACACACGCGCACACACATACACACACACATTCTTGTAATCATATCTTTGTGGGGACCATCCAGTCATTTCTATGTCCCCTTAACCCTTGGATGGAGTGGTGGCTCTGTGGCTAGGGATCTGTGCCAGTAACTGGAAGGTTGTTGGTTCAAATCCCATGAATGTCCAGAGTCATTCAACTCCATTGGGCCCTTGAGCAAGGCCCTTAACCTGCATTAAGACCTTAAAATTAATATATTTATTCGGGGATAAATAATTTTATAAATATAAATATTTTTAATTCTAATTTGTAACAACCATGCAAATTCACCCAATTGGAAACAAGTCAGTGAATGTAGTGCAACAAACACTGGAAAAGCAAGCAGACTGCAAGGTTCCAACCAGATCTGAACTTGAAATCCTCATTCTGTTGACACATATTTGTCTATCATCACCTTCCCCTTTTTTATTAAGTGTGGAAGTAAGACTCCAAGCGGCAAATCTTCTAAACTGTTCAGTTTAAACCTATAATATACGTAGTTCCTGAACACTGAAACCAATACAACTGGTTAGGTGCTAATTGTTAATTTTTTCTGCTTGGAAGAGGCATCGTAGATAGGTAATAAGCTAATTATAATTACAATAAAAAGTAAGTTTTAACTACATAAAATATGCAGATGATGAAAAAAATGCTTGCGTTTATTGATCTTTTAGCTGGCGTGCACCTTTTTCCATCTTCATATTAAGCCTCTCTAATGGGTCTTAACGTTATCATTAACGGCCTGATAAAATTCAGTATCATATGACGTAAAACTGAAAAGAATTAACATGACAATTACACTCAAGAAAAAAGCTACATTCTAGTAAATTTGCATCTCAAAGGCATACTTTAAATATATCGTTATATTACCATCCAGTAAAAATACAATAGTTGCTAAAACTCTCTCCATATGTGGTGAATGTCATGTATGGTTATTTTTTATTATATTCATAATTCTCATTTTCCTTGTTCTTCCTCGAGCATTGTATTCCTTTCTTGTTTATTTCTTCTTTACTCCCTGTATTGTTACAGTGAACTATGTCCTAAGACGTGTTTGTAAAAATGTATGTATATAGTATTGCAATGGGAAAAAAATATTACGCTCAAGAGCTCACCATCCTGGACCAAACGTCAAGAGAACCGACGCAAAGGAGGCTTGGCGTCAGCCGGAAGTGACGCAGACCACGACCCCGCCCACTCCGGCGTTTTTGTTTGTTAAAAAGCTCTTGCGTGCTGCTTAATCAAAAAGGAGTGAGGCAAACGAGGAGCTTGGATGGCAGGCTGAGCGGACATGAGCCTAGCTCCGCCGATCCTCATTCACCGCGTCAGGTGCACTGTCCTGAGCCGCAGCCTATGGCAAGGACGACATGCATCTCTCTAGTCACACCTAGCACCCTGGATTTAAAGGTAACCCATAAATTAAATGTTTTTTTTATTGCTTTGTCAAGCCTAATTAGGATACTGATGATGGTAAAGGGACTAGGAGGATATACATAAAGAAATGCAAGCATCAAGCCCGCTATCATACTTATTTACTGTATTAGAAATGAAGTCATACATAATGCAGAATATTGTATTTTTGATCTCTGAGCCACTGTGTTATTTTTGAAAATAATTCTAGTGGTGATTATTTTACCTGAATATATACGTTTCCACTTTGCATGGTGAAATGTGTTTTGCGGCTCAGTTTTTCACGTCAATACCCGGCCGACACGGGGTGCAGGTTATTATGGCCTGTGCTAACTCGCAGACACGGACCCGAAGAAGTACTGGCTGTCCGGCCTTAGGTGTCGGTAATAGCGGCATTAACGGTGCAGAATGGGAAACATTAAATCCCCTTTGACAGTGATAGTGTAATGCACACGCCTCGATCGCCTGCCTGCGCTTTCGGGCTGAGAGCTTAACCAGTTTGACAGCTGTCACTGGAGTCTCCCTGCCATGTGTTAATGTGTTATAAAACATAATCCTGCAACGGTCTCTGTAAGATTTAACTTTAATCCTCCACTGCCCTGTAGCCGGTTAAGAATACTAGTACGATCACGGTATCCGTGCAAAAAAACTGCATTCACGTACCAAGTCTTGATGCATAATCTATATAATAAATGTTACGTCCTACTTCCCGCTACCATAACGCTTTGTCAGCTTAATTTTCTGGAGTCGCTGTTATCAAACCACTGAGTGGTGTTTACATCTCCGGCTTCCCTCACCATTTCCTGTGCTTGATAAAATCCCGATAAAATTACTGACAAACTGCACCGTAGAGGACTTTGTCAGCTGCAATTTTGCAATGTCCTCCAACAAGCAGCATTATTTTCACAGCAGTTTCACTGCAAATGATTTTGTCTTGCGGTGCACACAAATCACAATCGTCTCGCGATTCCTTGTTTGCTTGGTGTAGAATTTGCTGTATTAAGGGGAATAACTTTGTATTGCGTTAGAGCTGTTTCGCTGAGGGGGATTTTGTGTACCACAAGAATGTGCTTTCATTTTGTAAACATGTGTACCCTCTGACGAGATTATTCTCATGGAAGAGCAAGGTGTAAGGTACGCCCCCCCCCCCCAAAGTTGGGGATATGAGTCACACCCCATGTCACCCTGCATGCATGTGGAGTTTGCACGTACTTCTCATGTTCTGTGGGTTTCTCTGTCAGGTACACTGGTTTCCCCTCAGATTTAGGTTCTGTATTGTGTTGGCTATAGGGTGACTTTTTTTTTTTATTTTACAGTGCTTTCAGAGTGAAAATGACAAATTTTCCTGCAAATATTTGCAAGATATGGGAAAAAACAGTACAAGTGTCTTATGGTCATCAAAGCAGTAGTTGAACAGAAGTAATTTCTAATCATTCATAATGGAGTCCTCAAGTGTTATTCCATTTCCCGCTTGTCGTGATCACTTGCACTTTAGGCTGACGTCCCATTCCTATGCACTTATTCACTCAAGGCAACACTTTAACGGTCAGTAGTTTGACACATGGGCCCTTAGGCTCTTGAGGAAAAGCGCCAAGTGCAGTGTGTGGCGTCAACTAGACTGATACTGACGGTAATGGAGATAAAGTGATCAAGACCTTTTTGATCAGCTAAAACAGAACAACGCTTCTAATTTAGTTCCTGGATATCGCTGGGGGAAAAATTAGTCAGTTATTTAATCTTGGGTGTAAAGGAATGTCGGGTGTTAGCATTTATCGTGCCAGGTCCGTCAATAATTTAATAAATTACAAATACCGGCGGTGATTATGTTACTTACGCCAGCGTATGTATTGCGCTGGCAGTTAGTGCTGCGTCTTTATTCTGTACCTCTGCATCTCTAGAATAACACACTTCAGCCCTTGCTTTTCCAGTCATTTGAAATTAGATTGTGGAAGTCAATATTCCATTTAGATGGTTTCCCCTCTAAAGGAAAGTACTTAATAGAAGGCTTTTTGTTTGGTAGGAAGTCAGCCCAATACTAAAATCACTGAAAAAAACAACTGATTTGACAACTGCAAAAAAAAAAAATGTTAGCAAGTCAACAAAAATTAAAAAATCAAATTAAATTACAAGCACTTGTAACAGTTGTTTATGTGTTTGCATGCTGTGTGTATGAACACTGGGAGCCTTGGAGTAGTGTTCAAAGTCAACTTTATGAACATTGCGCACATACACAACGTAATGACGTAGTGAGCAGCCTCAGTGCGAACCTCACATATAATAAGTGCGAAATCAGACAAATAAAATGAATAAATCACATGACATGGTACAGGGGAGTTCATCTGGAGATCACCATATGCAGAAGGTGTGTGAAGGCAGGTCTCCATCTACATTCTGCAGTTGAATGATGATGTTGTCGTCCCTTTGTAAATCTCAAGTTCCTTAGATTTTAATTACAATCAAATTTTGGTCCTGAAATACACATTGAATTTATCAAAGCTCCAGCAGTTTAGGGTTTAGCTGAGCGTAACTGCGTTTTCTCTCTTTTAGGTGTGAATGTGAGGCTGAGAGTCACGCCCGTTGCGCTATGGATCCAAACGTGCGACACGTGTATTCCTCGTCTCCACCTGCCCTGGGCGGGGGGGTGGAGGAAGACGACGAATTTGGAGATTTCGGGGGCTTCTCCGGGGCCAGTTTCACAGAGCTTGACATTCCTATTGGCTTCTGCGATACCCACCCGACGGAGCCTTGGAGTCTGGATCACCTTGGCAACGGAATAGCTAGGTTTGCAGGTGTGAGCTCGGGGTATCCCTGCAACGGGGATGACGTGGAGGTTACAAAATCGTGCACTGGCAACATCCAGGCCTCTGGTCTGGGTTTCCCCCTGCCCAGGAAAACCATCCATATAGGGGACTGGAAACGGCAAGTGGATCAGCACCTTCCTGAGGGCAGGAACTCTAGAGGAACAGAGGTGAACTTCAGTCAGGGTGAATCCTGGACCTGCAACGGTGATGTGGCACACTCTAAGGCCGTCACGAAAGGTTATGTCCATGCCCCCAAACGTGGATGTACAATCGCACACCCCAAGGAAGACCAATGTCCATCCCATCCTGAGGAAGAGTTTGTAAATCCTGCTTCTCACTCTAACAGCGGTTTGTCATGGGGGGGGCGACACATTTTCGATCCTGAAGAGAACTCAGATTTGGACAAGATGGAGAAGGAGTCTGTCAAAGGGACAATCCTGGGAATGAACGGGCTGAGGAGCGTGAGCCACATGCCGATGGCCACCGGGACCCTGAGCAACTGGTACGGGGGGGGGGCCGAGCCAGAGGGCGATGGACGTCACCCTGGAACGACTCTCAGTCAGAACACTGTTAAGCTCTCCTGGGAGGAGCCAAGCGCTGCCAAAGAGGAGGCTGAAGCAGAGGATCGTGGGAAAAGGGAGAGGGTTGAGCTCACTGCTGGCAGGAGGGAAGGGGAAGTGAGCCAGGTGGGTAGCAGGGAGACCAGAGTCCGGGACATGGAGTCCTCTTGGGCGACCCGGGTCTCTGTCGGCCAGAACATTGAGTCCTTCTGTCAAGTGGTTTCCACTGATAAGGTTGAGAACTTCGGCGACTTCAGCTCGGACTGCACAGGGGACTTGAGGGTGGTGGAGGACAAGAACTTTGAAAACTCCAAGGACACCAGCTTGAGCTCTGCGAGCCAGACGGCGTTGGTGGATCTTTGCGCCATGCTGTCAAGGGAATCGTCAGATGCGGGGCGGGTTGTAGGGGCGGTTTTTGGAGGGGAGGGGATGACCGAGAGTTTGGCAGGCTTCCCCGGCAGCGACAGCTTCGCGGACTTCAGCTCTGCTCCCTTGGGGGCAGAACCAAGTCCGGAGTGGGATGCTTTCGGAGAGCAAGACAGGGTACAGGCTGGGGGTGACTCTTGGGTTGCATTTGGAGTGGAGGAAAGTGCTACTGCTTTCTCAAAGGACAGTAAAGCAAGTTGGTTGGATGTTTTGAATGCTGCCTCCACATCGCCCTCTTCTGAGAACCCGTGGAACTGCAGGAGGGGCAGTCTGTCGGTATGTGTAGTTTCCGGCTTCCATCAGCCATGCAGGCTGTGAAACAGGCCAGCGTTTCCCTGTGCATATGTTCAGCAATCTGCTTGAGTCTCCTTGTATTTCCCAGTGCTCCTCCAGATGATGCCAGCTTAGCTGTGACCATCAAACACTTTGACATTTGTTGTCTTAAAACGTACTTCAGATTACGGTTGTCAAGTAAAAAAAAAAAATCAGAGTTCTGCTGCAACAATAGTGCCCCCTTGTGGTCAAGGGTAGACAGCTGTAAGTTTCTCTTTTATTTTTTTTGTAACTGCTGTTTATTTATATATCATCTTTTTTGGAGCACCTTGAGCCTTCTATAGTCCTCAATGATTTTATCCCTCCATACCCCCCCATTATCCAAAGTTATGTGGTAAATGTGATCATTTTATTAAATGGGGGGGGGGGGGCTGTATTTAAGATCTTTTTTTATAATAACCAGTAGCAGGATAAGTGGACTTTATGCTGTATACTCAAGGAAGGTTTTGCTGAAAAGTGAAAGGATCTCTGAACTATAAAACAAGCATGTTGATTATAAGTGAATGTGTAGGATATTGCCACTTTGACTTTGCATTATAACGATAAAGTTGAATCTGATCTGATCTGATGTGCTCGTCTGCCCCCAGGCGTCTCTGAGCAGCTGCCTGGAGCGGCTCTTCCAGACCAGCTTCCCAAAGGTTCAGACGGCCGAGCCCCAGGGCGTGGTGTCCCCTCTCGGGGCCTTGCTGCAGGGGCCTGGGGAGCAGCAGGCCACTGCCACCCCTTGGTCAGACGTCTTCTTCCTACGGTCACTAATCCGCGCTAACGGATCTGACGAATGGCTGGGGACGCGGTCAGGCAGGTGACCGTCTGGAATGTCTTGCAGGGCTCCGTGGGACGTGTGGCGGCGACTGCAGGACATCCACGGTGCCCTGGGCCTGCGGCACCAGTGGGGCGGTTCCCGTGGCAACAGAGTACTGCTGATGTCCCTGGGCATGGACACCAGGAACACTGTAAGATCCACCGCCCCCCCCCCCCAAGCAAAATCCTGCAGTGTTTTTTGAATGTTTCTATTCTTCCCATGGCCCTACCTCCAATCTTTGAATTTTCCTTACCGTGCCATTCCCCCCCCCCCATTTCTCCTCGCAGCTGTTCACAGACCAGAACCAGCAGCCAGGCACAGTGTCCTTGGCTCAGTTCGGTGGGGGGGCAGGTCCCTTGTCACCCTCTGATATGGCTATTCTGATCAGTGTTTGTCTTACATGACATGGTTCCGTGTGACCCGGCTGAGTGCGTAAAGAGAATGATCCCTCCCGCTGGACACAAATTATGGCGGTGGGACATTCATATTTAATGTGCTGACTTGTGAATGGAGTAGCCAAGCCCGCCCTCTCCGTTTACCATCTGTGGCGAGGTTAAATGTGCTTTCTCTTGTTGCTCTCGTTGATGCTAGGCCACGGCACAGCCCTCCAGAGAAGCTGTCAAATCAATCTCTGCGACGGAGAAGATCCCTTGTACAGCACAGACACCATCTGTGTCCCCAGAAAAAAGCACTTCCTCAACAGATTCAACCCAGGTGAAGAAGCAGTTAAGACTATAAGTTTAAGTTGATGGGAAGGAATGTTTTGGACATATGAGTTGCTGTTTGATCCTCCCCACACTAGGTGGCACTCCCACAAGTCATGTTCGATTGGAGCAGTAGTGGCCTTACAAATCCTCTGGGCGGTACGGTCCTCCGTGGTGCAGCCTGCGATCTCCAGTCCATGCAGAGCCCCCACTCCTGGTTTATTCTATTGAATTATTTAATTATTTTTGCTTATCCCGTACCATCTCTGAATGTGACAGTCCAGGTTCCTCCTCGTGCTGTTTAAGGTGGCGCGCGAAGGCGTAATCGGCGCTTGTTGGAGGAGCCTGGTGAGGTTCTGTCGCCCCCTTAAGTTTTCTGCCTCTGACTGGCCGTGGGCGTCACTCTGTAATGAACTCAAGTCCAAAAAAACAGCACAAATAACTTATGAGCATCTTGGTTGCCGTCTTCATTGATTGTTTTACATGAGGGGGGGGGGGGTCATGTATACCTGGGAACTTACCCACCCCCAGTTTTGCCAACATTTCCTTCATGTGTGTCCACGAAATACAATGACATGGTTGTAACATTTGTCTGTAAATCTGAGCAGAAGATAGAGAGATGGGGCTCCTGTGTTTAATGTATCTGATGCCTCTCGAGCAAACGCCTTTTTCAGGGAAGCGTGTTTCTTCCGACAGCCTCAGTATGAGGGGAAGTCTGGGGTTGGGGTGGGGGGGGTCATGGGGGGAGGGGAGGGGGCTCACCTGCTGGTGTTTTTTCTGTTCAAGCTGCTGCCTTGTGCTCAATAACAGTCTGTTTGCTCGCACTCTGTTACTTCATTCCTTCTCTAAAATTGAAGGGAAACAATATTTAAATGAGGCCATTTCTCCCTCAGTCTCTACAATAATTCTCTGGAAGAGAATAAAGGTGGTTAATCTGCTCTGTGTGTGTGTTTGTTTGTGTGTGTGTGTGTGTGTGTGTGTGTACTCCATCTCTGCTGTGGGATTCCTCTGGGTATTCCGGTGTCCTCTTGCAGTCTGAAGACTTGTGGTTAGGCTGATTGGCGTCTCTAAATTACCCATAATGCTTCTATGCATGCATTTGCCCTGTGATGGATTGGTATCCCATCCAGGCTGTACTCCAGCCTTGTGCCCTGTCTCCAGTGACCCTCTCTGGAATGAGGGGTTAGAAGATGGGTGGGTAATTAAAGTATTATTTCCCTTTAATGACCTCAGTCTCATAATGAAAATGCTTTTCTTTGAATTGCAATAAACTCCTCTTAAAAACTGCAGCATCGCCTCCAGTAATTTTGTACAGATGTGAATAAAAAAGATCAAATAATGCATTGATTGAATGTCACTCTTACTTATGACTACGATGGGTGAAAGTCCTTATGGTTAGGGTTAAAGTGCTCACCATTTCCCGTTGGGTTATACCACCAACCACATAAGGAAAATGGCAGGATTAACCAGCTGGTGGCTGGTGTTGAGGGGAGTTGGCAAACTGGTTTTCTTAGCCTCGAATCTCCTACCACTTGTTGCTGTGTCTGTTTCCACAATGGAGGCTCATGGGAGTTTTGCTTACACAAAAATGTTCTGAAGGCAGAAGGAAAAATGATTGATTTGAAGGGATGACCAATCAGATTCTAGAGGAGGTGGATCCAAGCAACCAATAAAATGTCTTGGTCCCACCTGCTCACCTTGGTCCCACCCATTTTTCCTTCTGCTCTCAGAACATTCTTGTGTAAGACTCCACTTTCGTCCAAAGTGATTTCCATACTTGCCCTCAACCGCCTAACTGTCTGACCCTACCTTCAGTTGTACATCAATTTGGACAAAAGTGTCTGCTAAGACAACTTAATTATTTCATGGCTTTAAGTAGTATGTATTATCTTGAGGACAAGGAAGGAGTCCTGTGACAGATGACTTGCCCCCCCAATCCCCCCCCGACCTAAACCCTATAGAGATGGTTTGGGATGAGTTGGATCAAAGCGTAAGAGCAAAGTAGCCAACTTGTGGTCAGAACTTGTGGAAACTCCTTCAGGACTGGAGAAGCATTCCAGGTGGCTACATCTGGAAGCTGGTTGAAAGAACGGCAAGAGTTTGCAATGATGTCATCGGGGCAAAAGGGGGCTATTTTGAAGAAAATATTGAGATATTGAATACATCTCTTGATCCTGCAATACTTCATGCGTTACTTCACTGCCTCAAGGCCTTTTACTATAAAGTGAATAATATGCGGGGGGGGGGGGGGGGGCAGACGGACACCGACAGGATTCATGGTGTTCATGAGTTTCCTTTAATGACAGCAGTCAATATAACAACTGAACTAAACATCAGAACATTTCTTTTTATGACAATTATCCACAAAGTCTGCAGCTTTTGTCACTGCAGTGTATTTTTTGTCTGCTTTTCAGGTGGTTGACGCGACATATTTTCCAACGCGCTCTCCGTCGTCTGGCGGGGGTGTGCTCACCTGTGTGTGCGCATACGCGTCTGTGCGCGCGCATCGGGGCGGAACTCCGCCACGCGCGATACAGAGAGCAGAGGAGAATTGTAAACGCGCGACCGTGTAGACAAAAATGACAAGCTATTGTATAAATAAGATAAATAACATAAGGCTATTTAGTTTGTTTAATAAAAGGGCAATGTATAGACCTGTTCTATAGGAAAGGTAACCTTAAATGACTTCTGTTGTGATCTGGCGCTATATAGAAAATAAAATTAAATAAAATTAACTTGACCTTCAAGGGGGGGCGGGAGGTGCCGTTGTGGGGATGGGGCGCCCCCCTAATATAATGGTAGGGGAAACACTGATATAGCTAAAACAGAGACGTGGGTAGGTAGGTTTGTGTGTCCAGACTATTGACTGGTACTGTATATGTATTCTCAGATAGTAAGGCCTGTGTTGGAACACACACAGGGAAATACTCTCGTCTTAGTTGTTTCTCATACTTTCCTTCCTGTGGCTCGAGTTAGCTGTCCTCTGTTTTTAGTTACAGTAAAAAGCATCTGAGGTTTTCAATCTTCAGTTTTTCCATGAAAGAGATCCATTCTCTGCTGAATGTACCCCCCCCCGGTCCATTGGCTCTAATCCTGGGGAATCCCCTGTTTTTTTTCCTGGTATTATTTCACGCTGGATTGAAGAATCACACGGTCAACATCCAGGAACATCTGGAGCGTGTATCCTTCACTTATACCTGGAGAATTCATTGCAGTTTTATCCTGGAGCCAAACGTTGGTCTGGTCCAGTGAGTTTTCATGAATGAAGAGGAAAGAAAAGAGGAGCCGCACCAAAGTGCTTCAGTGTAAAAGGGAGGGGGAACGGCGACAGGCGGGGCTGGACTTCGTGGTCCCCCATGACCCCGGTTTAGCTGAAGGGGAATCCCCATGAATAACTTTTGCAGAGTGATAAATTTTACCGCCTGGGGGCGGGGGTGGAACCCATGACAAATTTTGCCGACCCACATGACCATCTGCCCATCAGGAATAATGCCCGGTGTGCCAGATTGCCAGTGCAGCCCTGTTGTGCCAGGGATCATGCTAGGACTGGTACCGTTAGTAATAGCCTCAGCCACAGTGGTGGCTTTGTGGCACTGGCCTGGCGCCGGTGTGAAGGTGTCGACCCGAGCTCCATGAGCCCAGCAGAGCAGCCAGTAAAAACACCTGCGACCGACTGGGCCTGCCTCCAGAAGACGATCAGCTCATCCGGCAGCTCAGCCCCTCAAATGCTAAATTCCACTGCTCATTTCCTGTCTGCAAAACAGAAGCAAAATTAGCAGTGCAATAAGTGAAAACTGCGTGCTAATTCAGTGGTGATTCACTGGCGGTGCAGGGCTTCTATTTTTCTCACCATTTGTGCTGATGTACTTGGGCCTCTTTAAGGGGAAGTGGTGGAACTAGATTAAAAAGATGAAAGACTCTTTGGTTGAGGTGAAGATGAACTGGAATTACTACAAGAAGCTAAACAGGAAGTTGTGGGGGCAGTGGATAACTAAGCTTGGTTGAGGGTGACGGCTGTGCCCCCTCTTCCCTGTGGCTATGAACAGAAGAACCAGATGGGGGCAATCCTCAGCAAGGATGTGCCAGGGTGGTCGAGGGGCTGCCCCTGGAGGGCAGGCTGCTGATCCCCTCCAAATTGTCCCCGGTGGGGAACACCTGTTGCCCTGAATTCAGCACTTACAGAATGGCTGTCACTCTTCCTGCATAGTGAGATCACTCCTTCTCCTACTGCCTGGTTATATTGTCATAGTTTTATAGATACATGTATTTGATTATCTGCAATGGGTTGGCACCCCATCCTGGGTTATTCCCTGCCTTGCCCGTAGGCTCTGCACCCCTATGCTCGTGCATATGACAAGCAGGTATGGAAAATGGATGGATGGATGCATTTTATTTTAAACATCCCCGATCACAGGACACAAGCCGTCATCCTGTGTTGCTACATCTGCTGCACACAAAGGTATCAGAGTTCTGTATTGATTCCATCTGTGGTGGAGGCTTGATGTCAACTTTTACTCAGTTTACCTCTGTATATGGTTTTTGTGAGACTTTTATGTTGAACAGGGGGAAACATGGTTTGCTCTCGACCTGGACTGTACAACTGAATGTGTGGGATATTTCGTACAGAGAGCAACCTTGGAAAGCCTATATGACGGCGGAGATGTGCCTCATTTTTATATTTGAATATCTAAATTTATACAAAATGAAGTACTTTTGTTTTGGCTTTTTCAGTGTATTATTGAGACAGCTGGTTAGTTGAAACAGGTTTGATTTTCAAAGGTATTCACAGTTTCACCGGATGAGGAAGACCGCCTCGCCTTCATCTCGACTCCTTCCTGGCGAGCTGGCTTGTCGTTAGACATTCATGGGCGTGCTGGAATAAGAATGAAATCCCCCCCCCCCCCGGGGAGAACATGCCTCTGTGAGGAAGATGTCCACCCGTCAGGGGAAGGCGAATGCGTATTATACTGCCGGCTGAATCACAGACATCTGTGAGACTAAACCGCACAACCTGTATTAGAACCGGTCACCATGAAGTGACTGTGTGTGAAATGGTGCAAAATTTAACAGAAAGGCACTAAATGCAAGTGAGCCGGAATCAACCTAAAAGAGGCCTGCTATAGTGCCCCAGAGTGCAGCCTGATTTATATTGCCGGCCTCCTTATGTGATGCCCCAGTAGCCTAATGGATAGGGCACTAGCCTCTTAAACCAGGGACTGTGGGTTCAAGTCCCATCTGGGATGACTTAAAGAAGCGTATCTTATCTAAACATGTTCTTGCGGGTCAGGATAAATGTGTTATAATTATGTTATTTTTATGTTATGTTATTTCCATTGCATCCCTGCTTTTGCTCAGAATCCTGCGCAATGATCATCTTTTCAGATAACAATTTGAGGTTAGAGAGTCGTCAATAAAGACTTTGTAAAATCCACAAACCATCGCAGTGCTGTACCCCGTGGGACAGTCCTGCGCTCCTCTTCCTCATGGCCTTGCTCTTCTGAAGTGTCTGTGTCCAAACAAACGTCCCCATGACCTTTTGCTCTGGCTAGCTCACCTTTGAGGTTCATTGGGGTTAATATTACTGTTATCACAATTACGGTGTGGTTCCTGTTATCCAGGGTACTTTAGAACACAAGGATGATCCATCTTAAGTTATATTGATTCATCTTTGTCCTGGGACGAAAACTCTGCTTACAGAACTTCCCCAAAGAACCATAAGGAGGATATGGCTGAACATCGTAGCCACATGGGTTATATCAGCTCTTATGTACTGGGGCATTCTGGGTAATCCTGCTAATGTTAAACACTGAGCGTGTGACTCTGCTTCCCGGCCTGCTACATACCCTGCACTGGGCGCCCAGTCCTGCTCCTCGGAGTCTCAGCATTCCACCGCGGACCATGAGCATGTTCCTGAAGGAGCCACGTGGACATTGGATTACTCCTGAATGAATGAATCAGGTGCTTTCAGGATTGTGGAAGGCTTTACAATAGTTATATTTGATTATGGGATGTTAGCATAAAGGTATTCTAGTTAGGGACCGTACTGAAGAGTATGACAGGAACACCTCCCCAGGAGAATTTGGTTATGAGTCACGGTCTGTATTTACCATCCTACCTGCAGTGTGATTATGTGGTTTAACGCTGTTACAAAATCTGTTATTACACAGCCCTCCCACCCCAGAGCTCCAGTGACAATTACTACAGTAGCTGTTCTGCTATTTGGTCCAGCATGGAGTCCCGCTAAGCCCCAGGCTGCCGGCCGCTACCCTGTGCACTGCCTTTTTCGAATGGGAAGATTCAGTGTCGCCCAGCCTTCTGCGTCAGCACTGGTGGACTCGTAACATTAACTCGGGGATACACTTTAGCATAGACGTGTGAAGACAAATAACCACGCCCCCCCCCCCTCCCTGGCACAACAACTTTTGTTTCCCCTTCTCTCTTTGAGGTCATTCACATTCCTGCCATCTGGGGGCAGCGCCGAGCAGACATGTGCATTACATAAAATAGTGTGGGTGTGTCTCTGCTGCCTGGGCAGGCGCAGAACGGGACCATTCAGACAGGCCTTGCGCAAAGAAAACCTGACAATCATAAAGGAGGAGGGGGTGGTTTGAATGGGGTCAAGGCTGAGAGACTCATTCAATAACCAGTAAAATGGAGGGTCTTGTGCCTTGTGGGAACAGGACAATAATTTAATTTAAATGCCTATGCCTGATTTTTCACACACGTGACTGGAATGGCAAGGCATGGCTGCTCTGGACCTAAAGCTTTTGACACATGACAACCTCAAGCCGACATCTTGCAGGTGGCTGACAGAAAGACGACTTCCTCCTCCTGAGATTATCGGCTCATTTAAAAAGAGAATACCTGCGCTTCCCCTTTAAGAGCACGAACGGCTGAGTCTGGGGGCAACCTGGGGTTTTTGAAGGGCCTGTCTAGACAAACGAGTCCCATGGCGGACGGTTAAAGGCGCACCCCGAGACTCCCGAGCCCCCCCCCCCCAGCACCCGCGTGTATGACACCACGCTAAAGGACGCTAACTGCACACTGTCAAGCTTTTTAACCCAGAAAATCACACTGGAATTGCCATTCGGTATCTATGGTAGCTGGGTTTGTAACACGACTGGAAACACAGTCCCCACATGATCGCCATGGGCTGAGGGAAATGACATCAATCCTCACCAGGTGGTTTCCACTTACATATGAAAGAAGCCTGATTTGCTTGATCAATTTTCACGTATTTCTATGGTATCAGTGCTTTTACAGTATGAGTTAAAAGTCTGGGCGCGCCTGCTTATTGCATTTGTATGTATTTTAGCTGTAATTTACCTAATACTCTTCAAAACAGCCCCCTTTTGGTTCAATGACAGCATTACAGACTTTTGGAATTCTTTCAACCAGCTACCAGATGTAGTTACCTTTAGGTGGGGGGGGGGGGGGGGGGGGGGGGGCAGGTCATCTGTCACAGGACTCCATCTCTTTCCTTGTTCACAAGATAATACAGTACTTACATAACCTCGAGGTCCGTTTAGGGTCGTTATCTTATAAACCTGCCTTTAGAGAGCCCACTGCCTCTAGAGGCTCCCTCAGATCCATTAAGGCAGTCGCAGGACCTAGACTCCTCTAACCCGCTCTCTGGCAACAACCAATCAGCTTAGAATTCCATATTTCTAGCCAGTATGCACAAAAATTGAAGGTTTTTTACCGCACCTTTTGCTTATAAAGACTTGCCAACTTTGGTCAGCTGGCTGGTGTGAGATGTTCAATTCGAGACAAGCCTGCACACGCATTTCACTACCTGGTAAATAGTGTAGGGTTTGCAAACTACCCTAACGCTTTTGATATAATTAATTTTAGGTTTATAATGGAATAATATAGATTTGCTGTAAGATTTCTTGCGTGAGCCTGAAAGCATGAGAGTCACGGCAGATGCGTGACAGTTGGCAACCCCGCTTATAATGAAGCAAACCAACTTACATATACACAAATGAAAAGTTTAGGTCTATGATTACTAGCAAAGCCTGTTCTGGGTGAGCTGTTAGGAGAACGCCTCTAGTAGGTGTGGATTTAACAGTACCTGTGGAGCTGTGGTGGCAAGGTGGCCTGCCTCGTCGTAGGCCAGCCCCTCACCTCCCATGCTCTGCAAAAACAGGCCTGCTGACCCACCAGCTCCTCCAGCTGTGCATTCCCCCTCGCCTGCTAAAAATAGCACATCCCTGCCATTTTGTATTGCGTGCTGGGCCCTGGGAGTGGGAATCACTGTGCCACAAAGTCAGGAGGGGCAGCACTTGTATAAAGGGCTGGAAGGTTCAGTTGTTTTCATCTTATGAATGCCTCTTTTGCATGGGGGGGGGGGGGAATTAACAACACAGACAGAGAATGCTGTACAATTACAAACCCAGTACATGCTAATATGTACAAATTTTCACCAAAATCCACCAAGCTGTTTTCATCGGTTTATTGAATAATATAAAACTACAAAAGTAAGAGTGATTCAAATTCAGACACGCTCGTCCATTTTTAATACGTCCAACAGTCCAAAATATGACGTGGATACAGCGACATGACATCGCGACCTTTTCACACGGCCGATTGTTGGTGATGTCGATTTTCTTTTTCCGATCAATCGGTTTATATATATTTAATATGTATATATTGCATAGAAAAAGGCACAGCGCCCAGGTCTGGAAAAACACACCCCTCCTCTTCCCACCCCCTCGTGTTGCACACAGTCACAGCGGCCGCAATAACCACCCAACCTTACTGCATATTGCCTGTACAGCTCGCAGCTGAGACATCAGTAATAACGACTTTAAATGAAATGCAATCAGTAAAAGCCGAATAACACAACAGACCAAACAATAAGTCCTCAGAACAAAAATATGCTTGACTACATAGTATTTCTACATAAGCTTTGGATTCCAAACCTGATGTAAAGGCCCTTGTCTTTTAAAAAATGCATTACTGGATACCATAGCTCTTCCCACAGACAGGTTCATGGGCATAAATAATCATCAAATCAAGGTGAGGGAGACGTTAGGAACCTCCAACTCATTTCAATCCTTAATATACATTCCTACAGTGCGATCTGTACAAGTTACAATCCCCATGTTAGCGTCACATGAAAAATAAATATATTTACAATAGAAACAAAGAATAAATAACTGAACAAAACAATCACTGCAAAAAAAAAATCAAACATTTAAAAATGATCATTAATTATGAATTAGTCACGCTGCCTGCTCAGCTCTCACCTTGACCCCAAGCACCCTAAACCCACAGACTCCGTGTCCCCGCTATGGCGAGCGCCGGGAATAACGCTGCATCCCCGTCAACCGTACGTGCCAAAAGCGTTAAAGAAGAAAAAAAACTCGAGCTATGGTCAGGGCAGACGAAAATATCACGATCGATTTTGGGTGCAGGTACAAAACGAGCATAAATTTCCCTTATATTAGCGCAGCTAATAAGGCCGAGAAACCCAGAGCTTTCTGGCCTGAAGCCGGCGTTTTATCGGGGCGGTGCAGACAGCGCATCGATCTGGCAGGTCGCACATCCGCTTTGCTAACGATGCCTCGGAATGGATCAGAGGGACAGTACGATCTGAACCGCGAAAGCAAATAAAATGCATTTGCATTTATCATAAAACATTAATCTGGTCCCTGGAAACACTTCTCTGAGTTGGGGACTGACCTTGAAAATCACAGACCACAAGGCTGCGCTAATAATTTAGATTACGAACGCGCATCGTGCTGTGGCACGTGTGGCTTCAGGACCTGCACATCATTTACACCAGTTTACCCCAGTGGAGCAAAGGCAGCTGCACACCTCGAACCGAACTGGCCATGTTTCGGGCGCCCAGCACCCCTGCAATTAGTAAGTGCCGGACGAAACTGACACAAGGAGAGAGCGGAGAGCTTTAATAGTGGCCGGATGACATACTGTAAAAAAAAAAGCCAACAAACATGTACGTAAATAAATAAATTAATAGAACAGATACTTATACAGTCAGAATTGAGATTTTCCCGATGTCAGAGGTTTCACGTACCGACGAAACCATCAAAAGAAAAAAAACGCCTCGGTAGGGTAGGATTACGGCAGGCTGTCGGACTTTCATTGGATGGATTCCCGGAAGACCAGCGACCTTCGGCCAATCAGACGCCGAGGGGCACAGCGTGACTCGTTCCTAAAAGTTCCCGAGTTCGCCTCGTTTCAAGTTCCTTTTCCACGCAGCGCGCCCGGCACCGTCCTGTAGTGCTCCAAATGCTGGAAAGCATTCTGATTATTTTCCTATAATAAAATGCCTTTAAAAAAAGATTTTTAAAAACATTTTCTGCTTTGGTTGGGAAAAAGAGTTACATATTCTGGTTAGTGTACTGTTCTGTACATATATCATTAGTTATGGCTATTTCAGGTTTATGGTTATTAATAAAGCCTATCCTACTGTCTTCCCCCCAAATAAATATTAAATTTGAAGATGAATCCAATCTAAATGGGTGCATATGGAAAGGATCCCCCCCCACCATGGATAGGTGGTGATATGCACAATTTAACATGCATGGGGGGGGGGGGGGTAGGAATCTTCAAGGAGAGTTTCAAGGGGAGGCAGTACCACGTTCAGTCACCAGGGTGAGGTACGAATTGAGCTGTATCATCCATCACCCCACACTGTAACAGGCTGGAAAGGCTGGGTCATGTATTGGTAAGCAACTGCTGGTGGAACAGGTGCCCAGTTGAGCCATCCCAGAATCCCCTGCTCCATCTCCTGTCCACATGACACCGCGTCAAAGTACAAAACAGTCTTGTACGCAGCAACAGAAGATCCAGATAGATGAGAAAAGCAATCCCACCCAAACATAACCCTAATACAGAGCCGAATGTCTCTTTCAGGGAGACCGAGTACTCATCACCAGGAAATAAAGGAAGACAAAAGAAAAGAAAAAAAAAACACTTGCATTGATCAAAAGGGAAAACATAATATCAAAAAAACATGCAATTTTCCCCCCATATAAATATTTGTGCTTGACAAGTAAAAAGTTCATTCTTCCAACAGAAGGAGGTGCTCTCCTCAAGAAGCGACTAAATGCGTCAGCGAAAGTACGGCTTCGCGGCGACCGGAGGAGGGAAAAAGAGGGAGAGACCAGAACAAACAGTAGTTCACAGATCAAGGCACCGGTATCTTCCAGGAGCCGCCGTCATGCCGCCATTCCTTCATGTCGTACGTTCAGAGCGGACGGCCGAGGGGCAGCACACGAGCACCGTGTCATCAGCAGGTCTTAGAAAAACAACAAAACATTTTTAAAAATACATAAAAACGGCTTTTTGTTCTCGTACTGGAATTTGATTCCTTTTTGTGCAGTGGGGGAAGAGACGGGCAGGTCAGGAACCCACCAGAACCTCCATGATATGGTCCAGTTCTGCCAGGTCCATTTTGAAAGGTTGGCTCGGGCTGACCGGGGTGGCGGTGGACCCCGATCCGGCGTATGGGGACAAGCTTTTTAGGAGGTCGTCGGCAGTCACCAGGGGGGCCATCTTGCCGGCACCGCCCGAGGCGGACGCGGTACAGGCGTCAAAGTCGTACATGGAGGTGTCGATGTCCGCAAACAAGACATCGTCCAGGGTTAGGTCGGTGAGGAAACCGGAGGAAGAGGAGGAACTGATGTCCAGCCCGCCTGGGAGCTGGGTCTCCATCAGCCGGGACTCTTGTGCCCCCACTGCTGGCTGGCCCTCTGACAGCAAGGCCGACACCCCCAGTTTTTGGCTGCAGGGCTTGGCCCCGTCTTTGGAGTCTATCCCCATAGGGGCCACAGAGGGTAGGTGCGGCAGCGCCCCCACGGGGCTGGGGGGGGAGGTAGCAGTCGGACCCTGCGTCTCACAAAGGTCCTCAATCTCATCCAGGGCTGAAGAGAAACTGTCTTTCGCAATGATAGGGGTTGGCCTCTGGGGGGTGCTCGTGGGCAGCGGAGTACATAACAAGGGGGTGTCATCCTCCAGCAAGGAGGCAGGGGTGAGGCAGGAGTCTGGCGGCACGGGGGCGAGGCCCGTGGGCGGCAGAAAGGGCGTGGTTGCGACAGGCGGGACCCCAAAGGCCGGCTGGGCCTCACGAAAACCCTCCCCTAAGGGATGGTGCTCAGACGGGGGCGACGGGGGGTGCAGGAAGAGCGCCTGCGGTCCGCCTTCCTGCTTCAGCTCCTCCTGGATGCGGCGTAGCACGTTGTTCACCAGCAGGCGGCGCTCCAGACTGGGCTCGGCCAGCGCCCGTGGGTGGTACAGCTTCATCAGTGAGAGGCTGAGGACCGTCTGCCGCTGGAGGCTGTAGGACAGCTTGGAGGAGGGGTCCCCCGTGCCCCCCGGCCCACCCTCCACCGGCGCTCCCTCCGCCAATCCTTCTTCATCTTCGTCCAGTTTCCTCTTTGTTCCTTTGCCCAACATATATCTGGGGGGGGGGGGATATAAGACAGAGTTAATAGCAGCACAGCAAGGGAAGCCCCCTTCCCCAATTTACAATCACATTCTCCAGCACCAAAACAAGTTTCTCGTTCACTAAAGCCATCGAGGTTCAGAGAACTTGCTTGAACACACAAATGGTTTTTCCCCAGTGGACTCCGAGTCTCATCTGTGGTCTGGGGAGCCACAGCAGTAACATATCCCAGAAGCTTGGGGGGGGGGGGGGGGCATGGATGGAAAAATAATGGACCAAGCTTGCGAGGTGGGGGCAAGGGCTTACAAAAATTCTTGGGTAAAGACGACATCGTCGGCAGAACTCCCCGTGCAAACACGCCAGGCATTCGCTCTGCAGCTGTGGCACGTGTGAAACAGTGTGACGCGGAGTACGAGTACAGTGCCTTCCCTCAGGGGGACGACTGCACGCCAGACCCAGGGCACCCACTGTCTGATCACAGCGTGCACCCGTGCCTCTACACAGCATTTCAAATCCACCATAAACAGCATAGGTTGTAAATAGGTTATAGAAAATCCCTTTCAGTTTCATTCAGGGTGGGTGGGGGAATACATAACAAGAGAGCCAGCAAAGAATGGCTGAACTCCACCCAGGGGGAACAGCTCTGGGACATTCCTGGGAGAGTTCGGCTGGCAGAGGAAAGCAAAGGAAGTCCACCCTGCCCAGTGTAGCCCCACCCCCCTAGTCAGAGCACCGCCCTCCACAAATTGTGATTGGCTGCCAGGGTACTGGTAGCGTAAAGAGGGAGGGGCTAGTGGTATGCTGCTGGAGTGGCCATTTCGGATTGACAAGATAAAATAAAAAATAAAAATGAATCCCCCACCCTCAAACTCAGAGGGGAAAAAAAACAGTGTTTTAAACAACATCATGTGAAATGTACTGTGCAGACAGTCATTTCCTGTAAACAGCTAACACATACTAAACTAAGCAGATCATACAGCTGTTGAAGATTATTTATTTATTTATTTTAAAAGGTATCCAGCTACAATAAGGAGGCAAAGCTTAAGTCACTTCTCCCCAGTAGCATTTGGTAAATGAGAAAGTGACAAATATCTGACCGCTGGATTAACTGGGCCACCACATCCCTGTTGGGAGTATCAGACGATACCTTAATACCAGTTATCATGACGCACTTGATTGTAAGTGCTTTCAGTGAGAGGTCCTCCATTCTGTCCCGCCGAAAGAGCCACTAATAAAACAGATTCGGTTCATTAAGGGACACCAGTAAGCCTCCCTGTTGATGTGTAAAGTCGTGGGCAGCACACACAGGTTCCGAAGATCGGGTTTCCACTGATATTTTGATCCTGTAATTGTATATCCATGTCTGCAGGTCTGCGGCCAAGCCCTCAGCTCGGTGCTGTGATACTTTAGGTAATAATACACGCAAACTCACGCGTTCACACAGACAGACAGTACGCTAGGGCGCTGATGAGATGGACGAGGAAGAGAGGGACGCATCGTCTGTGCAGTGCAGAGGGGGCTGAAACAACAACCTTCCGGCGTCATCTTACAGTGAAACAATGGCCCCCATCCCCTCCTCTGCCGCAAACACCCCCCCCGCGCTCACCCCGCGGCTTCCGAACCCGTGCGGAGGGTCCGGATCTCACAGCAGGATTCCCCGCGGGCCATCAGCGACAGAATCCCGAGCAGAGCGAGATATAGGATGTGGGAGGAAAAATAAATAAATAATCCGCCTACTGGAAAGAGAGGAGAACGACACTGTCTCGCGCTAAAGCCTCGGAACTGCGGAGGCGTGCGATTAAAAATAACGAATGAATAATGGATAAACGGACGAGCGGCAGTGTGTTCCGCACGTTTCCCAGAAGAGGCCAGGAGTCAGGTTTGGTCGAGGACCAACAACTGAAAGCTGAAGATCATGAGCAGCTCCATGGATGAGGCTGCACTTCCTCCATGCAGGCCTGGGCCTCCATAGAACATAGCCGGAGGTACGACTCAGTTGCACTAATGACCCAGCCAAGAGAAAGCTGATTGGCCTCGTCTCTTCACAGCACACAGACACCCACACACGCTAACGGAAGGAGGAGAGGTTTAGGTCACTGTTTGAAGGGGACTGACGCAGCACCAAGAGGCGTGTGGCTCAGCAGGTTAGGGTGCTATGCCTGTGATCAGGGAGGTTGTTGGTTCGAAACCCAAAGTTAACAGAATCGTTTTACCACTGGGCCCCTCTGCATGGCCCTCAACTACGGTTTATATACATATATATATATGTAAAGCTTTCAAATTAACCAAGATGGACAATTTCAAATTGGTGCACAAGCAGCTACTGTACCGTTTTTACATGGAATTTACACTAGTGGCCAAAACTGTGGAAACACTTCCAATTTTTAGAGACTGCAGAAATTTATTCAACTGTTGCTCCAGTTGCTGATTCAATCGCCCAATATATGACATTTGTAACATTCTTCGATTGTTTATAAAAATTACCGCCAATATCCGTGCGAAACTGCTGGGTGTTTCCACAATTTTGGCCACTAGTGTTACACTGTGTAGATACGGTTCTGCAATCTAAGTATGATTTAAAGTATATGTCAGGTTGAGAATAGGGTTGCAAAGGGCTGGAAAATTTCTGGAAATTTTCCTGAAACTTTTCGTTCCATGGGAAGTTAAGCTGGGGAATTTTGGAAATATTCCACATTAGAAACTTTCCATGGGAATTAACGGGAAAGTATGGGAATTAACAAGAATATTCCTAGAATTTTGCAACCCTAGTTGAGAATAGGTGTATATGCAAAGTAAATAGGCACCTATATAGGGTCCTGAATGTATGTGGTCTGGGAGTATCGTGGTGGGTTAGGAACCAGGTGACCACATAAGATGTGAGAGCACTGAAAATTGTAATTTATGTACGGGGGGCAGACTACAGCAAGAGCAGTAACTGGAGGACTGGTACTTCAAACCCGTCAGAGCGGTGGAACAAGTGGCTGGGCGTAGCGCAGGGTATCTGGCGGACTGGTAGACACACCTCTGCTCTGCTGGTGGCCTCAGGCAGCAGTGGAAGCCATCAGCACCTGTATGCAATCGCTCTCTAATGAATCATTTGTCGCGTGTCACCAGTAAACAGTAAAGAAAACATAAAGGCCAAATGAAATAAACAGGTCCCTGTTTGGGGGTGGGGGTGAGGGGGCAACTCACTATATTACCTAAGGCGCCTTTGATCACCCCCTTTGAGCTGGTGCCCAGTAAGATGAGGAAAAACTAGGGGAACTTACATGTTATTCAATAATCATATTCCCCCCCCCAAAAAAAGATGTCTGTCAGGGCAGAGACACCATGTGCCAGACTGGAGGGAACACCAGCTGATTGGTGTACAATGAGCTCACCCCTTTCCCCCCAATCAGTGGCCCCAACGGTCCTACAAATCACTTACAGTATAACAGGTGCTCTGGAGATAACCTGCACGTGTGTGAGCCCCCACAGCAGCACTGGGAGGGGTTTCCCAGTCCGGTCCTCGGGGACACACAGCCAGTCCACGTTTTTGCTCCTACCAGGCACTTGCAGGGAGCAAACATGTGGATTGTCTGGCAGGGAGCTGGGAGGGAGCAAAAACATGGATGGTCTGCGGGTCCCCGAGGACCGGATTGGGAAACACTGCGCTAAAGAGCAGCACTGTGACTTGGCAGTGGCTGGAACTACCCCAAACTCTACAGGAACTTCACCTTTGCAGCACATAACCACTAGGGACAGAGATAGAAAAGAACCTCCCCCCCACTTACGGTGATTGACAGCTCTGCAGCCTATAGGGAAAGTTTTCAAGTCCAGCATACTAAGCTACAAGGTTAGGAGACTGGCGTTTTACACAGGCGTGCGGGAGGATGGACCCTGCCCCCCACTCACATGTGTGCGGCATGATCGCTGGACTATGACACCCAAAGCCTGGTGACAGGAGAGGGAGGGGGTGGGGCACAACCATGCAGACACCATAGGCTGTAAAAACGTCATTTACAAAAAGTACCGGGGGGGGGGGAGGTGACCAGACAAATTCACCAGATCCAGGGTACGTACTGCTTAGCACCTATTCTGCAAACCGGGTAAAATCCATTTAATCGAAGCAGTAATAGGTGCCTGTACTTGGCTGTTGTGGTCTACCAGGAGGAAGAGTCCTGTGGCTTTTTAAAAAGAGGAAAACACCATGACTTTTCTGTGATAGGTTGATTCAGAAATATTCTGTAGAAGCTGTCTTCTAAACCACTTATCCTGGTCAAAGTGATGGGGCCTGATCTCAAATTTTGCAGCACATCCTTAATGACTGCAGTCGTCACCTTTGCGCCACGATCATCCATGTCTCTCAAAAACGGTAATCTCAAGTCTTCACGGAGTATCACTAATACAGTTAGCTGAGAGACGTTTTAGCGTGATGACTAACAACAAACCGGGCGGGGATACATTAACAGGAATAAGGTATCTGGTTCAACATTCTCCCTTCATTACTGAATGAAAACTTACTTCTAACTTGCCTTACGGGACAAAAATGGGAGGGAGGGAGAGAGAGAGCTAGAGAGAGACGACAAAGCAGTCATTAACCATTTTAATCACAAGCACTCCTTATCTAGGGCACGTCCCTTCTAATACATTATCGTTAACCCTAAACCCATTAAACTAAAAAGAGGCATTTCCAAAAATTGTAATTATCTTCTGGTTCACAGGAAATTCGAAAGAGCACAGTCTGCTTCAGGGATGCCGTTATATTTGCGAGTTTATGGGCTTCGCAAGCCCTGATCTTTCGTGATTTCGAGATGCAGAAATGTGTCAGGGATTTAAACGGCATGCTGACAGGTTTTACTAAACGGAGCGATTTCATTACGGTTGCATTAATGTACGCGGGGAATTTAATAAACTGCGCTCACTGACTAACACCAAATGTCATCCGTGTGCATCACTCACACACACACACACACACACACACAAACTACGTCCAGCCAGCTGGACGCCGAAACCCACGTGACAGTTCGGCTGGTTAGCTGGTTAGATCAGAGTTGATCGCTTCACCGAGACCCGGTCAGCCGATCGCTTCCCTGGGTGCTCAGGCAGCTCAACGCGGAAGTTCAATCCGAAACCATGACCGTAACGTCAACGGAGATCCGATAACCCGTGTGCGACACTGACCGGGGCGATCAGCTTCACGGAATAACATGAAACCCCCAGAAGATCACCAAAAGCCAGCTAAGAAAACAAATCACACTTTCCTCAACAAGATCTTGCTTAGTTTTGGTTTTAAGCGATACGTGCCGCAAGAAACCCCCACGCACCGTCTTTAAGTCCAAAGTCATTAAAAATAGTACCCCGATTTCCCCCGTTTCATTCATAGGTTGAGTTTAAGGCACCTACTCACCACATCTACATCTAGCAGGGATCCTAAATGAAACATCGGGGTCACTACATCGCCAGTGTCTCCACAGTCCCCCGGCTCCTGGAAACCAACGTCGGTCAGAATCCCGGCGTCACTTTCATTTCCATCCGCAGCGTACGGAGAACCCCCCCACCTCCTCCCGCCCACTCCGCTCTTGATGGGGGGGACGAACCGAAATACCCCACAAGCAATTAAAAAAACGCCGAGACGGAGCTGCCAGCTGCCCCGGTATCGCGACAGAGAAAGAGTGACGTAGACTGAGTCTCCAGCTACGCTAAAAGCTGCGTGCTTTCGCTGAGGTCCGCCCCTCATCCTCTCTCTCTCTCTCTCTCTCTCTCCCCAACCCCCACCCCACTTACTGAGTTTTTCCTTTTTCTCGCTCCCTCCTTGCACTTGGCAAGGGAAAGAGACCCCATGCATCAGCATCAATAGCCGGGCAGCGCTCAATGCGTCCCCGCTCCAGCGTTTCTAACCCATTCCCGTCCCTGCTACCATGGCCGTAAACTAACGCCGGTGTCACCGTGTTACAGGCCAAATATGCACGGTGTAGAAGAGCATGGTCACTATGTCATCAGCTGTAGTGCATTGGCAGGCAGCAACGAACGAGGCACATCGTCCACGAACGACCCTGCAGTGCGAGCGAAGCGACCGCAACTATGTCAGACATCCGAGCGATTCGCCGAACCGAAAGCAGGCAGCTGCATCTCATACTCCGCCAGTCAACAGCGTCGCCCTTTTGTGATTCGGACTACTCAAAAACGTGTATATATATTTTTTATATAGGCTACACATATTTTAAATACATGAGAGTAATGTGACACAATGTAAAATGTCCGCTGCTACTGCAAGGTAATGTGTAAGAGATTGGATTACAGGCGTGTTGCACTTTGGACTACAGCGTGATGATAAAGGCAGAGGAATCTGTTGTACCTTTGTTTATTTGTAAAGACTAAATCTGAAAATGCTTTCCAGATATAATAGTGGATGAACAAACTTATAATTACTAACGTGACACTTAAGCATAATTTTAATCCTCGTGTATTTTGTGTGTGTTTGTGTTTTTTGGGGGGGGATGGGGGGCAGGGGTGAGTGTCAAGTACATGCAGATGCCGACTGATGGCGCGATTCACTGAACGGGACACATGTCAGACATCTGTCAGATGGGCAGCAGCGCGTGAAGGAGCCGTGGGAGCCGGTTTTGCGGCAGATGCTGCCAAACACGACAGGCCGAAGACACGCCCCCTGGTAACGTCGGACCACGTGACCAAGCTCCGTATCCATGCTGCTCAGGAGAAAGTCAGAATGTTTCTGATAGAAAGCAGGAGTCTGCTTGTTTGGTGAGTCCATGGCTATCTGGTTAATGGGAAGAATAACTGGGGGGAAAAAAATCTTTTTTAACCTGGATATTTGTAAACCTTTGTAGCATGCGCAGTTCAACCTGTTTATATATCTGTTGATATTAGAACAGGAAATTGTGATGTCTTTGCGATGATGTCAAAACGCGCAGCTTCTGAAATCAAATTGGACAGATTGTCCTCATGACTAATTCCTTATTTTCAGGTTCTGTTGCGGCGACAGGAAAAAAAAAAACAAACAAATAACTAGTCGGACAGGTATTTTCTGAATGCCACGGTTTAAATGTGCGGAGCCAAGGTGTAAAGGCCAAGAGGAGATCTTCAAAGGATTCTTTGTTTGCTAACACTCACAGAGAGCGGCACAAGTGAACACCACACTCCTCATTGTGTTTAGAAGTATATGAGAGTTTCTGATCCCTCCACGACCCGGAGCATGTCCACACCTCATATTTGACCAACCAGCATAGGATCAAATGCAGGCCAATCAGAACGAGGCTCTTTCCAGTGGAATTCACTGCACCATCTGCAGCCAGTGGAAGCCCACCAGCGCAGGAAGTTAGTGGTGTCCAGGCCTCTGCCTCAGGCATCAGAGCAGGAAATGGAAAGTGAGCATGTTACTGGAATGAGCTGGCAGTGGGAGTAACGCGAAGAGCTCATGGCAGTGGTTCTGTCGCCTCGTCCTGTTTTAAATGGTGAATGGGGTCAAAGGGGCCCCCATCCCACCTTGTGTGGACCTCTCAGGCACGGGGTCGAGTCGCTGTGGCACCATCGCACAGGGAGAGGTTGTGTGCAGCCACCTCGAAGGCTGTCGCGTGCCTCCTCGCCCCGGAGAGTGATGAGGACAGACAGCGCCCTTGCTCAGTCACTGCAGCTCATTATATAATTGAAACTATTGACAGCTGCTTTTAAAAAAAAAAAAACAAAGAAAAAGAAAAACTACAGGCTCGTGCACACAGCTATGCTCAACAGGCGTGCCACGACATGTCGCCGAAAACCACAACACTACGATATTAATTAAAATGAAAACGGTAATGCAGAAATATTTTTAGCCATAGTGACCTACCTAGCTTATAGGGGAAGCTGCATATTTTATACGCTCTCAAGCCTATAATATTATTATTCTATTGCTTAGCTGCAGATTCCTCCCCAAGCACTTTGCTCATATATGTAGCTGGGTATTTATAGGTGTAATATATTATTAGGTATATTAGGTAACTTTTTGAAGGGTACATCAGCAACCCCCTCCCCCCGCAGTTGGGTTTGAACTGGGGAATATTCACAGTGCAAGTCCCCTTCCTTAACCGGAGTGCCAACTGCAGGGAGCCCCCCCCCGCACCCCGATGACATCTGAGTGTGATCTGGGCTCCCCTTCGGTTCCAGATAAGCACTGGGGGATGCTGTGAGCCTTCGTCATGCACACACACACACACACACACACACACACATTTGTATTGATATCTTTGTGGGGACCGTCCATTCTTTCCTATGGGCAAAACCCTAATCCCAACAATGACAACCCTAACCCCCACCCAGCCTTGACCTTAACCATAAGTATTCACAAAACACAAGACTTTTGTAAGAATTTTTAGTTTTTTGATTGCAGCCACAGATTTTTTATAAAAACTCGTTTCCCCTTGTGGGGACTGAAAAAGTGATCCCCGCAACGTCAAAATAACAGGTTTTTATCACATTGTGGAGCTATGTGGTCCCCCCCCCACCACACATACACACACCAAGCCATAACATAAGCAGGATTGCCTTTGATTTTCACTACATTTAATGACATTCCTTTATTCCAGAATTTTCCAGATGACCCTCCAAAAGGCTGGAATGTCATACAAGCCTAAAGTGCTCATATAGGTCTGGTCTAGCTGGCAGTCACTCAGCACAAATGCAGACCCACCTCATACAGACCAATCCTGCAGAACACAGGTCTATGGTCTCACGCTGTGCACAAATCCTCTGGGACTGACTCCCCCCCCCCCCCCCCTTTTTTTTTTTTTCGGGCCCCGGGCCGGGGGGGGGGGGGGGGCGTTTGGGATGCGCAGATCCTGCGAACACATGCATCAGTCAGAGGAAGCTACGGCTGGTGCCGCAGGGGGCGTCTCCATGCTGCTCCCGACGATCTAATGTCATCTTTTTGTTCACGTGTCTAAAGTTTGTGATCACGGATGTTAATCTGTGCAGCAGTCAGACACGTGCTTGTCACTCTGTCACGTCCCGCAAGACGCCGGCTCATGCAAGCAGTGACAGCTGTAGGTGCCTTACACTGACCGGCAGATAAAGGGTCCCACTGGCTCTCTTTCTTAATCCTGTTGTCATGGTTATCAGGTCAGTGGGATGTCGTTAGTCAGCCGGGCCGCCTTGGATGGCGTTGGCGCAGTAGTGGGTAACATAATCAACCGCCGACTCCGACGTCAGATGCCCACCCATCCATCCATCCATCCATCCATCCATCCATCCATCCGCTGTCCTGTCGTTTCTGGCCCCATTCATTTCCCCTGGCTCGACCACAAAAACAACTTTAAATATGCCGCTGGTTTTAAGTAAAAGGAAAAAACACAAATTAAATGGAACAAAAAAAAAAAAAGACAGAGAAAAAAAATCAGTTGTGGGGTAAAAGGCTTTGCATGAGGAGAGATTAAAGGAAGGCTCAGCTTGGGATTTGTTTAACTTTCTGTGGCAAGTTTAAAAAGAAGTGGAAAAAAAAATGTAAGCGGAGTGGGAAGAGAACTTTTAGTGAAAGTCGTACGGTGGAGAGACGTATGGCAGGACTTCTACTGAAGTGTGTGTGTTTTCTGATAAGTCACATGAATAAATTGTTGAAGCATATCCTTCTCTCTCTCTCTCTCTCTCTCTCTCTCTCTCTGCTTCACGATCTTCATCCTAACAGGAAGTTGTGCTTTTATTTTCGACGCTAGGCAACGGGAATGCGGTGCTGATTGGGGCGACCCGGCTGGAGGCCGCGTGTCGCGTGTGCAGATGCCGCGCTGCGGACAGTCTGCCTCCAACCCCCCCCCACCCCTACCGCAGCAAGCCGGTCTGCCCCATTTGTTTGGTTGCCTCACTCCCTGTAACGTGTCATGAGATAATGAGCCAGAAGAACGACAACTTTGGGCATTTTTCAGAGTACTGTACTTACTTTCATATTAATGTCTTGTTTTCCCGGTTTTTTTTCCCCTCAAGGACGGTCGTTTTTTATTATGGGTCTCGCTAGCGCCACCATCTGATCACGAGTTTAGTAACTGCCGCTACGGTGTTCCTGTTTAAAGCGATAATGAAGGGCCAATGGGCATCCCCTCTGAATGGCCAAGCCACCCCCCCCCCCAATCCACTAAAGTCGTATCCTCTGTGTTTGTGATCGAGTTCCCGCACCCTGACATCTGTGACCCGACGCTCCTGGCCATTTCACACGAGTCGCGCCTCATGTTTTTCACAGACGTACAGCTGGATGCCACCTTAAAAGCCCCCCCCCCCCCCCCC